CTGTTAGAGAGAGGCAGCTCTGTTAGAGAGAGGCAGCCCTGTTAGAGAGAGGCAGCCCTGTTAGAGAGAGGCAGCCCTGTATGAGAGAGGCAGCCCTGTTAGAGAGAGGCAGCCCTGTTAGAGAGATGCAACCTTTCTAGATAGAGGCAGCTCTTTGAGAGAGAGGCAGGAAAATACAGCAAGTAAAATGGGAAACTGAAATTCTCCACAATTCTAAATATACTGAAGCCTTCGGAATGTTTGAACCAAAGACATATATGTATTTATATAATTGTACAAAGATTTCCACCAAATTTGTAGTTATATTTCTTAAAAATTAGAAACAAAACCTTTGACCAAAAACCAGTCAATTGTTCCATTTGCTTGCTCAGACATGCAACCATAAATATTGGACAATTTTTCCACAATTAGTGATACAAACTATTACTTATTAATTGAGTGTTCTTATAAAATCAGGAGGCATTTACTCTTTTACCAATTTTTACTACAGAAATCAGACAGAGAATAAAACTTGAATGAAATTATCCCTAGTCATGTATACCACATTGAGAATTAAGGCACATAGGTACACAGGTTGAGGATGAAAATTCTTTGCGCCATAGATTGTGGCAGCAGCAGGCTTCATTATACTTTTCCAATGACTAACTATCAATATGGCCAATAAAGATTGATCAATACAAACTTAGACCAAGTTTTGATAGTTGCAAGGGTTGATCATAACAGTGTTGATAGATTAATTTTTTTCATTAGATCCAAAACTTAAAATAGCTGCAAGGACAAGATAGCTTGATAGAAAGCTAAAAAACATGTCAGTTACAGTCAGTATCCTGATCAGAATTAGATCTTTCCTACTTATGAATGAAATCTTGCTTTTCTGAAGTGATAAATTTTCAATTCCAAACATTTTGGATGTCACAGGTTGATTGTGTAGTTTAGTTAACGATTAGATACTGATAGGAGTTATTTGCCCTAGCTGGATTGTGTTATTGTGGATCCAAAAATTGCGGAAAAGTTCAAAGCGCAGCTTGAAATGCTGATAAATTCCCTGCCTGATCCCAACCAATAGTTACTGAAGGTAGTGGTTCAATTATAAACCAAAAAGAATTTTACCCATTAAAAATGAGCAGCTTTGCTAAATCACAGAAAGTTTCCATTACATTTCCAGTTTTAATCAGGCATAAAAAAACAGTAATAGTAGCAAACATGAGAGTTTGTACTCAATACTCATCATATTAGGCTACCTATATCATTTGTAGCATGAAAAAAAACTACCATTTGAGCTTTTAGATAGGGTAAACGCGGTATATTCCAACATCGTAGGTAATTCCGTCACTTCTCTAGTTTTTCCTTTATATTAAGCTTTGTTTTAGTTCCATCCGTTCAACGTGGATGTCGGCAATACGTATCAGTTAAATTTGAAGCGCTGACGCAATACGACTCACCACGTGTCGGATGTTGCCACACAAAGTGACGGAATATAGGGATTTGGTAGGTTTCCATTCTAAAGGCTTTTTAATAAATATGGCAACATTTTGAGACGTTTCATCGTTGCTGACGCGTAGGTAAGTGTTTTGAGAGTCATGTGAAGGCAACAGAACTTACGTAACGCATACGGTTTTTTTTTATAGTTTTTCATTTCTCGATGCGTCCTTAAAGTGTCGGAATATACCGCGTTTACCCTACTAAGCCTTGAGGCTTTCATAGATTCCAAATGTTAGAAAAGATTCCAAATGTATAGAAAATCTGTCACTTTGAAGCAGCAAGATTACAGTAATAAGGAAAAAAATCCAATCCAGGCTGTCTCAAGATTTAGCTAATTCAATAGCTATTAGCTAAGTTAAATACAATGATAATTCTATCCATGATTCAAGGCTTGTGTATTCATTCACTATTCAAGAACCTCAAAATATAATAAAATGAAAAGGAACTTGACCACCCACAACTGCCACAAGTTTACTACAATTTTAATGCACAATGTAACAAATGATTATAAATTAACTTAGTCTAATTAACCTAATCCACAATCTAATTAATCCACATCCTTTTTTTTGCTAATTAATCCACAAAAAAGGCTTAGTTGCCAATTGCAATAGCACTAAGCCACAAACTGAAACTACCTACATTCCATTCATACCCATTGTAGATTTGTAGATTTACAGTCATAGTGTTCACACTTCACAGGAGGTAATACAAAGAGAAAATCAAAGTGCCTCCATCAATCACATTTAAAGCAACTTAAGCAAGCATTGTGTTAATTTGCTTTCAGCCTTTTAGGTGAAATTTGAAAGATCAGAAAAATCATACTAGGTAGTGCAAAAGCGTATATAGCTAATAAAGAAGATGGAACTTTGATTTGTCACATATACTCACTCCTGGATTTAGCAGTATGATCGGACATACCGTTATTAACAGACATAGTTGAAGAAGAAGCTAACAAGAGAAATTTCTTATGAAAGGCACGTCAACTCCTTGATTACTTCCAAACATGTGATAGAAAATATCAATTTCGGGTAGTATACGTCAGATAAGAGAAGTTCACGATGCGAAGTGTAACAAGGTGCAAACCTATAACAAATAGCTGATTTGTAGTTAGTAAAAGAGGAAAACAAATGAAAATTTTTAAAATTTTCGTGCGAATATTGTCTTTACAGTGTAGAAACAGGATTGCGTATGCAATTCATATGTCAATAATACATATTCAGCGTATTTCTCATATAAATTGTTATTCTATTACGTCTGATTGAAGACGTCTCGGACAAATTTAAGGCATGATTAAAATATTATTTCGAAGGTGAATACATCATTAAATAGATGTTAAAAAGAAAAAGTCAATGTAAAACTTTTGAAAATTTATCGGAATAATTCGTCCTACACATTATGCTTTTTGGTATATTTTTATACAATTTATTGTATTGTCATTATGATTTAGATGCAAACCTCCATTGTCATAAACAAACAACAGCAATGATACTCTAATTTGATTGTGTCATTTCGAGATTGCAAAGATGATGAAATATTATCCGCAATATCCTTATGTCTCGTCATGCTTAAATTTCAGCTATTTCCAATTGCTTGCTTGACTGCCTTGACAGTGTCAGTCGAGGCTAGAAATTCGTTCGGGTAGGGTGCTGCAGCGTGGCTCCACGTTTTGGCAGCTTTACGCTCGTACTTTTATTTACAGACTTAGAATTTGAAATGTATAATAATTTCGTGGGTTTGTCAAAGGCTATTACTTAAATTGAAAACGTATCTACACGGTCATCATCGAATTTTTTACGAAAAAACGAGATTTCTCAATTGTTTATAATCCGGCAAAACTTCGCTGGGTCACGTACTCATGTTGAGGCTTAGAGCGAAGTTGAAAGCTTGGATTGCCGCTCGTACCGGGCGCTGGATAGTGAGGATACTGAAGTTGTGGCTTGAGTTGAATTCTAGCTGGCACTCAGGCAGGCTGGTAGTGCTGGTACCGGGCGGCGGGCTCTGATGTACCGTCGTTAGTCACGGTCATTGCAGCTAGCGTCGCTGCACTAGCCCTAGGTACTTGTAACTTGAGGCTCAGCTCACAGGATGAGAACTGTGAGCTCACTGAGCCCTCATAGGCTTAGCCCCGGTCTATTAATTAGAGTAGAGTCTAAGTCTATGCCCTCACTCACTCACTGAGGCTCACTCCCCAGGCATACTTTGTTGGTGACCTACTCCTACTACTGTATTGGATTTAATGGATTATATCTGTATAGTCACTATAGTCAAATGGGGGTAAGACAGGATCGCAGCCTTCATGCCGGTTCATGGGGTAAGAAAGGACTGGCCCATTGCATGCATTCTAATTGTACTGAATTTAATTTGACAAAAAGAATATGTTAGAGCAATCATTGCCTGTCATTTCAGTGTTTGTTTCAACCCTCTTCTGCAAATAATTAATTTTTGTTTAATTTTCAAAGAAAACCTATGTAAAGAAGGGTCACAAAATAGTTAACCCTGTTTGGGAAATAAGCTCTGTCTAAAAGAAAACCTATGTAAAGAAGGGTCACAAAATAGTTAGGTAACCCTGTTTGGGAAATAAGCTATGTCTAATAACAAAAAATTTTTTGGCCAGAATTGTGGATGTAGGCAGGTAACCTCAAGTAATAAGCAACTTAATTTAGAGACATACTAGGCATTCCTACCTGCTACCATTACTGCCTGACATGTATTCTAAAATGGGGGAAAAAAGGACCAGACATGGGGTAAGACAGGACCATTAAATGATCCTGTTTTACCACACAAGTGGTCCTATCTTACCCCACAAATGGTCCTGTCTTACCCCACAATTGCCTCAAACAGTTCTCTTTTACCCCATACCTAGTTTATCAAAAATAGCTTTTAAATGAATATACCTATTATTGTGCATAAGTATACATGGAGTATTTTGGTCAAAATGTTCATCTTTTGCTTAAAATAACTATTCTAACTTGTTAGCTTTTATTAGATAAATTTAGCTGGCATACTATTGTGAATTGCATCATGGGGATGGAGAAAATAGGGATGTCTCTTTCCAAGTTCCCACTAGTGAGCTGCAGAACAATGTGCAATAGTGGTTGGGGGAAAAATCATTGTGTGAAACATAAAAAATAATAATCACAATTTTGTGAGAGGGCATGGGCTATGTTTGAAGAAGTGCACCACAAATGCAGTTAGCCAGAAAATGCATGATGTCCAACTCTTAACTTATTATCTATTGGTTTTATTACAAATTTGATAAATTTTCAGACAAGGACACTAATGGAATATACATGTAGCATTTGGCAGTGCTCTACAATGAATCAAAGCCAACCTACTATTTCTAAATTCTATGCTTAACAAAGTTTTCTCGTGGCAAAAACTCTAATGTGACTGATATTAGAGTTGACTTCCTGCAACACAAAACAGTAACAAGTGGTTGTTTAATCAAATAATGTGTTTCTAGATGGATAATATTGAATATCAGATTTATATTTTTACTAAAAACCTTGTAACATAAGAATTACCTGTTGGTCCTTTCTTACCCCAGCCTGATCCCATCTTACCCCTATGGGGTAAGACGGGACCTGCTCACTTTTTTTAATCTGTACAGAAAACTGTGTTGTATGCAAAAAGTCTGAGTTGTAGCTTTGAAGCCCATTGCATAAACACACCTTATGATAAGTTTAGAATTTTTTAGTTATTCATGGTATAGATGCTACATGCCTGTTAGGAATTTCGGTCCTGTCTTACCCCATCTGACTATATATATAGTCAGTATAGTGTATGTTCTATGTTGTTAACTCTGGTTGTGACTTATGAAGTTGTGAATAGGAATCAATCAAAAATTTATCTTGCTTATTCAGCTATTTATTTACAAACTTTCTGCTGTAACAGAAAATTTGTAAACTTTTTAATTTGTATACATCAGTTTCTGTTATGATAAGAGACTAAGAGTAAACTGTTGTACACTGATTTTTGTTATACATGTAAATATGTAATTGATGTAAAATACCTAAATTTGGTTGTCATCAGTAGGGTAAACGCGGTATATTCTGTCACATTAAGGACGCATCGAGAAATGAAAAACAATTAAAAAATAACCGTATGCGTTACTCAAGTTCTGTTTGCTTAATGTGACTCTCAAAACAACGCACTACGCGCCAGCAACAATGAAACGTCACAAAATGTTGCCATATTTATTTAAAAGCCTTTAGAATGCAAACCTACCAAATCCCTATATTCCGTCACTGTGTGTGGCTATATTCGGCACGTGGTGAGGCGTATTCCGTCCACGCTTCAAATTCTACTGATATGTAATGCCGTCATCCAGCATCAGGCCATCAGCTGCTATCTAGGGAGTTGACTATAAAATCACCAAACAAAGTTAAATCATAGTTCATTTGTACTAATGCTGATCTATGAGTAATAGTTCTAATGAGTATATGATCTAAAGAGTATAGTAGTTGTCTTTGATTAATTTTGACCAAGATAGGATAATGATTCAAGTTGAACAAATGCTTTTCTCTGATGGTAATGTTTATTTTGCAGAAAAGTTGCTTGGACAAGTGTAATATGTAATTTTTATTTTTGAAAAACGTGACAACATTTATGATATAAAAATGTTACAGGCACTAAATAATATGAAACTGAATAGAATATTCAACACATCAACTCTACATATTCTATCAACTTCAGTAAACAAAACGATGCTGCTTCTCCTTCTCATATCACTGGCCCCTGCAGCTGCTGTGTTCAGCAAACAGTCTAATCCTAAACCTGGAAATACAGAGGCTCTGGAAAGATGTTTATGTCAGGTATCTTTTATGTGGTTTTTAATTTTGCAATTATTTGGCAGAAATCACTTAACTTTAGATTTAGATTTATTAAAACTTTATTTAGAATACTTGAAATATTTTATTTCTGTGTTCCACTATATCCATGTGACATGTACACATTAATATACCTATGTTAACTTGGTTGAACTAATTTGAGCAAAGTTTTGTAGCAAAACTGATTAGTTAACAAGTTCAGTTTATTTATAACATAATTGCTTTAGTGATTATTGTGCATTTTATTCTCATGCTCAGCTGAAAGGCCTGATAGATGACTGCTCATGCTCAGTGGAGAGCATTGATAGCATCAACAACGTTCAAGTTTACCCAATCCTGAGCAGCCTCCTCGGCAGGGACTTCTTCAGGTATTGGAAGGTGAGCACTTGTCAAACTTTGATGCAAGATGATCGCTGAAACCAAATCTTCTTGATAATAGGATACAATTATACTATTCTAATGGCTGTCTGTGTGTTTATGATTATCATTAAATTATGTTCTAGCCTTATTAGTAAACTGCATAACAACTTAAGTTAGAAGCCTAGAAGGCTAATTATTATCAGCCTAATGAGAAGACAGCCTAACAAGTGTACTTAGAAGACTGCAAACTTCTAATTACAGTCATGGAGACTTGTCTTTAATATCATTAGTATCACATTTTCACCCCAATTAAAACCATAGTGAACAATTAGTTTGTTGTCAGAGATCTGTTTCAAAATCTTGGAGCCTACTAGCAAAGAAAAACTCTTTTGCCAAGTTATTCCATGTGTTTAGGTTCACCTTTTATTTATTTTACTGCTACTTATTGCCTTTTTATTGTGTTTCTTTAGGTCAACCTTCAGAAGCCTTGTCCGTTCTGGCCAGATGACAGCCGCTGTGCAATGAGATTCTGCAGTGTCGAGCAGTGTGAGGTGGGGAGTAGTTCAGTGCAGTAATTTATATTGCATGAGCTTTGTTTACCAAAATATTACCTGTGACTATATAATTCAAGTTTTTGTCTTTAGTTTTATTGACATAAACCTTTTTTTTTTTGTCAAGATTATGTGATTTAAATATATATACCCATATTGAAGTGAAATGGAAAAACATTCCCAGTTAAATAAAAAGTATCCTAGACAATGTATTCTACATGAATACCTATATAACATATTTGCTCATCAAGCTTCTATTGAGTCTAGCTGACCAGAGCCTGCTTTGGTAGCATTCCTACTTGGTTATAAACTGTGACTGTGTATCTTAATCACTATGAAATATTGATACCCAATAGTTTATAAGTGGCTATAAATAATTATAAACTAAGGAGACATTGATCACGAATCTATGATACTACCTTGACATTATCATATACTGCAATAAATAGAATATTTATTGTTTGAAAAAAAGGAAATGAATCTTCATTATTTTACACTATGTGAGTGAGTGCAAATATAATGGCATAAAACTAATTTTCAAGAAACCAGACTATTTCTAATTTGTCTGGTCTAAGTTGTTCAAACTTTCTTTCATTATCTTTTGTATAAAGGTATGTTGTGTGTTATATATCATAATCTATATTATGTTGATATGATCATAATGATCATATCATAATGATATGATACTTAATTTTGTTCAGCTTCAAAAAAAAAAACAATAATAAAATTGTTAATAAAAAGTACACTCTGGTCTTCAATCAAATATACAGTATATATAGAGATACACTCAACAAGGAGGGTTGATAAAAATTATCTTGTCTGCCACTTGAAATGCAATCATTTCTCAGGCACCTCCAGGTCTGAGAGTGGATGAGACTGAGAAGCCACTGAAGGATGAAGATTGCACAGGAGAAGAACATCTTGGCTACCTCAACACCACCATCAGGTCAGTAGTGTCATCCAGCACTCATTTGATAGCTCATTCTTGGGGCCATACTTTTAAAACTCGCTAAGTGAACGTAAGCACTTATGCTCTATTTTCCTGTCTATGATTGGTGGATTTTGCTTGAAAGGCCGTCAGTGATTGGCTGATGAACTTACGATCTCTTAACTTTCTTGAAAGTATAGGCTCTGGTTAGCTCTGAAGTTTATCTTTCAATATAAGGGTAAAATATACCTGCCTCATTTCGTATTATAAAATATACCTCATCAGTATTAGTGTAAAATATACCACATTTTGTACTATAAAATATACCCCATCAGTATTACCTATGTAAAATACACCACATTTCATATTACAAAATATACCCCATCAGTATTAGTGTAAAATACACCACATTTCATATTTTAAAATATACCCCATCAGTATTAGTGTAAAATCTACCCCATCAGTATTAGTGTAAAATACACCCCATTTCATATTAAGTGAAGTTCCCCGAAGCACCTTTAGAACTGACAACCTTAGACAATACCTAATCGAGTGTAACCTGCTGCCAGATATCTAGCACGGCACCTTGACAGAGGTCAGAAAAGACCCACACCTCCGACAAGACGTCATATTCGTGTCATCATGTTACTGGTTGAGATGAAATAGCAGAAGACGGATAAAGCCTGCGCCTTGGAAATAAAGAAGCATACACCCTAGACCAGATGGATCAGGCTACGAGCCTGAAACCAACGAAGAAGCCTGCCGACCCTGCAAAACGAATATTGGACCTTCGGCGCGAAATAGACGACACTGATCTGAAGCGCTAGAAACCTCTCCCTACTACTACTACTACACCCCATTTCATATTACAAAATATACCCCATCAGTATTAGTGTAAAATCTACCCCATCAGTATTAGTGTAAAATCTACCCCATCTGTATTAGTGTAAAATACACCCCATTTCGAATTATCAAATATACCTACTCCTTCACTATTATTTTGAAATTTATACCCATTTCTTCCTTAATGCTCATGCGCCTGTTACGCCATCTTGTTGTCTCCCAATAAGCAGGGTGTATTCTAGGGAGCAAATCGATCTATTATTTAACTATTGCCAGAATTTATTGCAATAGGTACCGTATAATATAATATAAAAATAATAATATATTTTTATTGGTTAAAACGTGAGGGTGCTAGGATAGTCTTAATGCTTTCTCACAATAACTATATAACAAACAACTGAGGACAACCGCTTCTCACATTAAACATATAATTCGGCTGTACCAGCAATATTATTTTATTATTACTATTATCCTGATATTAAGCATATAATTTGCCCCTGCCAGCAATAATTTATTATTATTACCCTGATATTAAGCATCCTGTTATAAAGCATATAATTTGCCCTACCAGCTATATTTTTTTATCATTATTACCCTGATATTAAGCCATATAATTGGTCCTACCAGCTATATTTTTATTATTATTATCATTATTATCCTGATATAAAGCATGTAATTTGCCCTGCCAGCAACAATGTTTTATTATTATTATTATTATCGTGATATTAAGCAGGATAATAATATAATATATAATAATATAAGCCTATAATTTGCCGTGGCAGTGAGGAGTCGCGCGCAGGCTTCGAAGTCTGGGCAGCTCACGACAGCGCGCGGGACGACAGCTTCTGTGAGCCCGAGGACGACAGGTCCACAGGCAGTGCCTACGTTGATCTGCTCGCCAACCCTGAACGATATACGGGCTATGTCGGCACCTCCGCACACAGGGTCTGGAGCTCCATATACCAAGAGAACTGCTTCAGGTGGGTTCACAACTACATTACTTAGCAAAAATAATCAATTCATGAACTTCCTACAGGAATAACTGAGGCTTAAGTCAGTGCATTGCATCTCGTGTGATGTCAAAAACGATATACAGTGCCATTTATGACTTCCTTTGTAGGTTCACAAATAAAGTTCAGTACAAGTTTTGGTAAACTTTAAAAATAAACTGCTAGCGGAATGTGTAGGTACCACAAATTATTTTAATAATTTTGTATTTGTTAATTGCAGCTCAGGACCGACGTCAGGCAGCTCGGCCAACAGCCCCTTCACGCACCTCACGGACACTAGAGGTGGGAGGCTTGCTCGGCTGTGTGAACCTGAACCTCTTACTTGGTATTACTGTGTAGGATAGGTTCGTCTTACGGGAGTCCTGTTGTGGCGTTACCGTTTATATTTATAACGGCCACGGTAGTCCCGTTGTGGCGTTGCCGTTTATATTTATAACGGCCACGGTAGTCCTGTTGTGGCGTTACCGTTTATATTTACAACGGCCACGGTAGTCCTGTTGTGGCGTTGCCGTTTATATTCATAACGGCCACGGTAGTCCTGTTGTGGCGTTGCCGTTTATATTTATAACGGCCAACGGCCACGGTAGTCCTGTTGTGGCGTTGCCTGTTGTGGCGTTTATATTCATAACGGCCACGGTAGTCCTGTTGTGGCGTTGCCGTTTATATTCACAACGGCCACGGTAGTCCCGTTGTTAATACGAATAAAGAATAAGAAGCGTACGAGTACGTACCTATAAGCATTGAGTGCTCGCTCCTGACTTGGACAATATATGACATATTTATTTTTCGGAGTGCTCGCGTCTGACATATGTCCTATAATAAATAACACGCCACACCTGACACAACACGCCCTCCTCCCCCCTCTGCCATAGTGTATCTCGTGCCAAGTGTGGGAAAAAGAATACTATAGGCTTACAGGTGTCGGCCTACAGGCAACATTTGCTGCCGTCATGCTGGCCTTTGTGAAGTTTGAAGAGTTTAATCGTTATTTTTCTTGCAGTATGGAACGGTTTAGTTAGATCTGGTGAACTGGGGATATTATTAATTATATTACTAATAACAGGTTGCTATGCATTCGTCCTGAATACGTAACACGTGTTGGTGCTTTGTGTTAACACACGGCATGTGTTGGTGCTCTGTGTTAACACATGACATGTGTTGGTGCTGCTGTGTTAACACATGACATGTGTTAGTGCTGCTGTTTTAACACATGACATGTGTTAGTGCTGCTGTGTTAACACACGTCATGTGTTGGTGCTCTGTGTTAACACAGCCTTGTGTGTAACACAGCCTGGTTGTGTATTACATCCTCTAGATCAATGCTGCGTCACAGGTGTGTAGATGCGGGCGTCGTGTCACGGCATTACATTCACTGCTTTCACACTCACGGCAATGACGGCATAGTAGCGGTGTATCATTCACCGTACAATCGCGTTATATATACGGCATTGTCACGACGTTTAATTCACGGTACAGTCACGACGTTGAATTCACGGCTCAGTCACGAAGTTGAATTCACGGCTCAGTCACGACGTTGAATTCACGGCTCAGTCACGACGTTGAATTCACGGCACAGTCACGACGTTGAATTCACGGCTCAGTCACGACGTTGAATTCACGGCTCAGCCACGACGTTGAATTCATGGCTCAGTCACGACGTTGAATTCACGGCACAGTCACGACGTTGAATTCACGGCACAGTCACGACGTTGAATTCACGGCTCAGTCACGACGTAGAATTCATTCACGGCGAAATTGAAATCACGTTGAATTCACGGCAAAATTTGGTCAAATCGCCTTATGAATTTAGCAACAACTCTTAGAACGACTGAGGACATTCGGGACACAAAGCATACAAATAAAATCGACAAAACACTTACTTAGCGACATGAAATATACAAATATGAAGCAGCGAACGCCAATTCCACAAGCAGATGTTCATTGATTTGTGTCTGTCATGTTGAGACGTGTGATGCGGGTATCATTGCGCACTGTAGGATAATGATGTGATGATACATAACAGCAGTGCAGCGTGCTGCAGGGTAATAATAGTGTGATGATACATCACAGCAGTGCAACGTGCTGCTGGGTAATGATAGTGTGATGATACATCACAGCAGTGCAACGTGCTGCAGGGTAATGATAGTGTGATGATACATCACAGCAGTGCAACGTGCTGCAGGGTAATGATAGTGTGATGATACATCACAGCAGTGCAACGTGCTGCAGGGTAATGATAGTGTGATGATACATCACAGCAGTGCAACGTGCTGCAGGGTAATGATAGTGTGATGATACATCACAGCAGTGCAACGTGCTGCAGGGTAATGATAGTGTGATGATACATCACAGCAGTGCAACGTGCTGCAGGGTAATGATAGTGTGATGATACATCACAGCAGTGCAACGTGCTGCAGGGTAATGATAGTGTGATGATACATCACAGCAGTGCAACGTGCTGCAGGGTAATGATAGTGTGATGATACATCACAGCAGTGCAACGTGCTGCAGGGTAATGATAGTGTGATGATACATCACAGCAGTGCAACGTGCTGCAGGGTAATGATAGTGTGATGATACATCACAGCAGTGCAACGTGCTGCAGGGTAATGATAGTGTGATGATACATCACAGCAGTGCAACGTGCTGCAGGGTAATGATAGTGTGATGATACATCACAGCAGTGCAACGTGCTGCAGGGTAATGATAGTGTGATGATACATCACAGCAGTGCAACGTGCTGCAGGGTAATGATAGTGTGATGATACATCACAGCAGTGCAACGTGCTGCAGGGTAATGATAGTGTGATGATACATCACAGCAGTGCAACGTGCTGCNTAGTGCATGTGGTGCGTCTGGTATATAGGTCTAGTGCATGTGGTGCGTCTGGTATATAGGTTTAGTGCATGTGGTGCGTCTGGTCTAGAGGTATAGTGGTATATAGGATTAGTGCACGTGTTGCGTCTGGTATAGAGGTATAGTGGCATATAGGTTTTGTGCATGTGGTGCGTCTGGTATTTATAGTGGTGCGTGTGGTATTTATAATGGTGCTTGTGGTGATGGTGCGTAGTGTGGGAGTGGCGATGGTGCGTGTGGCAGTGGTGCGTAGTGTGGTAGTCGCAGTGGTGCGTATAGGTTTAAACTGAGCGTTTCAAGATGAATGTTCTTTGTGCGTATGTGTCCGAACGGTGCGTAAATTTGTGCATCTTATGCCATAAGTTGCGTGTATCAGTAGAATGAGGGTTGTCCACGGAGAAAATGTGTTCCATTATTCACATGTGTGTGTAACACGTAGTAATATATATAAGTGTATCTATATATGTATATGAATATATAAGACATAAGTTTGGCCTGACAGACGGCAGCTCGGGACTACAAGCGGGGGCCAAGTGGGGCCACAACGTCGAGGAGTTCAGGCGACGCTTCGACCCCGCGCTTACTGATGGAGAGGGCCCCACCAGGCTTAAGAACCTCTACTTCCTCTACATCATGGGTGAGTGTGCCACTATACTGCCGCCTGCCACTACCGTACAGCTGCAATTGCCTACTGTCGCAATTGCCGCTTCAACAAAATTACTGTTGTAAAATACAAGGAAATGGGGATAAATTCCAAACCTGACATGCCTTTAGAACTTTCTTGATGCTTAACCAATTACTTGAATTAACCACTTCACAATTAAATTCCTCTAATCACTCTTCTAACTTTTCTATTCCGTCTACCGCTACCGTATCTAATAAGAACCCGCCGTAATTTCGTCCGTAATGTTCCATGTGGCCGTACCGCGTGGCCGTGTTCTTGACGTAGTCGCACAATCTACTTCTTCATGACCGCACTTATGTTGAACATAGAAATGAAGGATTTTATTCTCTAGTATCCTTAGTATGCGTTATGATGTAGCAGTCTTAGGCTGCGCTCGAGCGCCGCCTCAGTATTCCGCGGCCCTCAACCGCGGGTATAATGTATAGTTAATTCTATATTAATTGTAATTGTGAACTATAAGGTATAATGTATATTGGAAGTGCAGGATTAGATGACAAGTGTTGATGTTATCAGAGCTGCGTGCGTTGGCTAAGGCGGGACGGCAGCTGGAGCTGATGCAGTACTTCACCGGCGACCCTCAGGAGGACGAGGACGTACGGGCCGCCATCTCCAGGCTTGTGGCTGTCGCCAGGTGACCACTCCGTGATGGTGGTTTGTGGTGGTGATGATGGTTGTTGCTGTTGTTGTTTGTGGTGGTGATGACGGTTGTTGCTGTTGTTGTGGTGATGATTGTTGTTGCTGTTGTTGTTTTTGTGGTGATGACGGTTGTTGCTGTTGTTGTTGTGGTGATGACGGTTGTTGCTGTTGTTGTTGTGGTGATGACGGTTGTTGCTGTTGTTGTTTGTTGTGGTGATGATCGTTGTTGCTGTTATTGTTGTTGTTTGTTGTGGTGACGGTTGTTGTTGTTGTTTGTGATGGCGATGATGGTTGTTGCTGCTGTTGTTGTTATTTGTTGTGGTGATGATGGTTGTTGTTTGTGGTGGTGATGACAGTTGTTGTTATTTGCATTGTCTAAGACAGTTATTGTTGCGGTACGCGCTAGTCACGATGTTATAATTAACTCCCCGTGTCAACAGGTCGTTCCAATATTTCGACGAGAGCACCTACTTCTCTAACGGCCAGACGAGCCTCAAGGAAGAGTTTCGCCTTCACTTCCGCAACATAACGCGCATCATGGACTGCGTGGGCTGCGACAAGTGCAAGCTTTGGGGCAAGCTGCAGGTAACGCAGCATGTTGGGTGTTATGGTAGGAGCGTTGTAATGTTACTGCTGGACTGTGGCAGGTGTGACGGTGCTAGCCCATGAAGCAATTGCGTAACTTTGCCTGATGTGTTACAGTAAAAATAACGCATGACTCCCGTACAGGTAACGGGTCTGGGCACGGCTCTCAAGATCCTCTTTTCCGGCAACTTCGAAGACGACATCCCCCAGCAAGGTCCTGGCGCCGAGGACGCGCCCCATGAGCGCCCCGTCGCCTCTGACGTCCTCAAGCTCACCAGGAATGAGGTCGTCGCCCTCATCAACTCCATCGGCAGGTGAGTGTCGTTAGTTTCTTTGTTTATATTATGAACGTTACAGTCCCAGGCCACGCTGATACACCGGCTGCGGCTTCCGCCGAAATCGCGCCGTCGGCATGCAGGTCGGCCGCCCCGCTAACGTCCCGGTGACTAAAAAAAATTAACTTCTGAGCATCGGACCTCAGTAGGACATGCAGTTGCTTTCTTCTGCTGAAGATAGTTGGGAAAAGACAGACGATCCGGGATTTTGATCAAAAACGCCTCCACTTATATCGTAAAGATCTAAGAGATGAACAACCATCCTTTCCGCTCCTTTGTCAAGCCGCTAAACAGACTTGTTCACGGAAAGGGGATCCATCCCGCAGAGATTAAACTCTACAAGCAGCCCTGTTGTTTGATGAATGACATACTCAAGACATGGTATGCCTCTCTCTTCTCTTCTCCTTGGAGTATCCAGTAACAGCTACCGTAATAGTCCACTTCCCTAATCCAACTGATCCTTCGCATAAGGTTCGCTGGACTGCTTGTATTGGTATTACTGAACTGTTTAAGTAATATAATTATATACTGTCGCGTCGTTCAATCATTCGTGACGCGCGTGAGATCAGTATAAAGTGAAGGACATTATTTCAACGTGCGTAACGTCATTGCGACGCAAGTGACGTTATTTTTTGCACGTTAAACATTTGTTGCTTTCGTTCCATACACGTCATTCATGACGCTCTCTTTGCACTGCAGTAACAAGACGTTGCCTCGCCCCACAGGCTGTCACGCAGCATCTTCGAGTTGGAACAGTTCCGTAAGATGGTGGGCAGATGATCGCCGCAACCGCAGCCTTTCTTCATGCGCTGATGATGAGAATCATCACGCATCAACATTGTCAGCTCACCATCAGTCACCTACACCGTCAGCTCACCACCAGGCACCCACACTGTCAGCTCACCACCAGGCACCCACACTGTCAGCTCACCACCAGGCACCCACACTGTCAGCTCACCACCAGGCACCCACACTGTCAGCTCACCGGTATTGGTCACCATACCGTCGAGAGTTCCGTCTGCTGCAAATCATAAATGCTGATACTTTTTAAAACTGTGACGGGTTCAGTTTGTTTGTGCGCGGTGGTTTCCACAAGGAACGTACGACATGGCAATTATTGTCGAGTCTCTTGTCTCCGTCAACAACAGCCCATTTATGCTCCATTTATCTGTAATTTTTAATATAGCATTGACGTAACTCAAAAAAGTTCGGTGCCCCTGAAGTAGTTTGCTTGAGGTTTAGCATCTGCATCCTTGATGCAGTTTATCCCTGCTGTGTGAAGATGCAGATCTATATTTTCTCCAACTTTGAATGTTCTGACAAAGTGAAATTTTTGTACATCTGAAATTTTCAAAACTCCCGTCGAATTAATAAGTCGTGTGGAAAATTTATGGTACGCTGGGATATTATTCCATGTTGTCTCAAATCATATTTTTTATAGTTTATTATAGGGAAATTTATTTTAATTTTATAGTCAAATTTCAGTTCCGAATCAGTCATTCTGGACAATTCCAGAATAGGCCTTCCAGATATCTTCATACTTGTTAGAATAATATACTCGGGCACGCTTAACCTTCAGACCATGTGGCTCCCCTAACCACTTTCCTTGTGCGTTTCTAACACATCTGGGAACTTGGGAAGAAGCGGTGAACCTTTAATTCAAACCACGGTTAACTAACCCGTATTCAAGTTTTCCCGTAAATGATGCTAAGCCAACATTATTATTATTTTGTTTGGTTGAAAAGTTGCGACGAAATAGTAGCGAGCGGTAATCTCGTGTGGAAATTCAAGTGTTAATCTTTCCACATATTTCGATAGATCTTTTCAATGAAAAAATTGTATTTATTTCTTAAGCTTGAATTAGACATGTATGACTATTTTAGTGATTGGAGTAGAGTTGTTTATTCCTGGGTCTACTGGGCCAAGATAACCCACGAAAAGGTAATAAGTGCGTCACTTTTTACGAAGTCTTACTCGTTTTTCTGGGTGAAGGCGTAAACATCTTGTGCGGACCGTTTTAAGATAGACTCCTAAGCGCAGGCACGGCTTTGTACATTTCGTTTCCTAGTTTTATGTTTATCAGGACTTACTATGAGGGAACATTTCGTACTCATGCAGAAATATTAATGGGTCAAATGGTCCAAATATGACACACCGTCTTGCCCCCAGCATGAGCAGAAAGTTGACGTAGTTGTTACGTCTTTTTTCCGGGCCAAATTTGGTTACGGTTTCTCTTGAGAAGGGGAGAAAAGTGTGGCACTTTTTGAACAACGTCTCGCTCATTTCCTTGAGTGCAGGAGCTAAGGATAAGAGAATGCCCCCGAAGTGTAGAATATCATTCAGCAATTCACATGTTGATAGAAATTTTAAGAAGTTGACTACATTCTTACACACAGTCGACTACATTCTTACACTAGGTCCAAAAAATCCACTAGGCTATCTTGGTTGGTAACTTGGTTAATTTCTTGTTTGGTTAAAATTTCTCATTAATGGTTGCTAATTGGATTACCGTAACGTTGGTAAGAGTTCTTCTTGATTGTTTACAATGTTACTTGCAAAGTACTTAGTTTTTTGTTGGTTATTAGGTCTCCTTGGTTGCAGGCAAACATCACAATACAAGGATAGATGCTCTCTCACCCTCCCTCTTCATGAGGATACCCACAACGCTCCGTTACAAATGCATTTAGATGCTCTTTCTTTTCACTGTTACAAACTATGTTACTGGTATGATGGTTGTTATTGTGTGATATTTTTGAGTTATTAACATATTTATGTAAAATATGCGTGAGAACTTTGTGTTTGAACTTGATTGAAATGCTTGATTGAAATGATTTGATGGTTCTTTCTTATTATTCTAAACCCTTTCATCTTGCTCCAGTATTACGGAGTCGTTTGTGTGTATCGAGAAGAGCCGTGTTTGTCTCGATCATAAGCATTCCGTTTTAGTTTATTATTACTTATACTTCTATCTTCTTTTATTTATTTAGTATATTGTACTATGGAATGAGAACTCGTTAAGTATAGAATTAGTTAAACATCGTTAATAATAATCGCCTCTGTCTGCCCCACAGATTGAGTTGCTATTTTCAATTTTAGGAACCTATTTTGCTAGTGACATTAAAGCATTTAGCTTCTGACTGCCCTGGTAGAGGTTCACTTTCCTGCCGTGCGAATAAGAAGCAATAATAGCGAGCGTGAAGATCCTGGATTATTTCAACTATAAAATTTTAAAAACAATATTAATCTGTCCTTGCACTTTCAAAGCGTGTAATTTCAGAGATATTTTTGGTGTACGGTATATAAAGCTGCAAGTGTAAAGTTTGGCAAGCATTTGTTAACCACCAATTGACTTATTGCCAATTTATTTATGATTAATTCCTAGGAAAATTGAGTGCTAGTCTAAAAGTGTGTTTTTTGTGGTGTTGACATGGAGGTGTTAATTTCATCGTTTAAAACGTTTTATTCCCAGATATTGTTTGATCTTTATTATTATAATTATGCGTGACTTGTTTAATCAAATGAGTTAATTTTTTACTTTTGTGTGGCATTGTATTGGGTTTTTGTAGCCCATGAAGGGAATTTTGACTTTGAGCAAAGGTTTTTGATATGTACCTTTGGTAAAATTAGTATATCCCAGTTTGTTCATTTATTATTTACTATAATTGAACGTAGCGTGATTTTCTTCAGATTATATCAAGTTATTTGAACGTGATAAGCGCACACAAAATATGACGGCATTTATTCTATACTTGAAAATGAATCGCACCATGTGGGGGACTTGCTATATTTCTTGAATGTTGTGAGGCAGTATAATGTAGTGGTCGAAATCAGTGCGGGTACGATCCGTGCTTTGCAATTCCTGATACGCTCGCAAACTACGCTTAACTGAACTCTAGGTTATAAGTAATGTTCGTCTTATATTCATTATATTTGCACAAAATGTCTTTCTCTATCCCTTTGTGATTGTCTTGGTTCAAAAATGAAGGAAGTAGAAGTGAAATGGTTATTGTTGTTGCTTGGGAGGAGGTATTGAAAGTGACGCTTCAGCAGGCCATTCCATGAGGGCACAATACATGAAGGGATCCGACCGATACCTGAAACTTCTTCATCGTGTCGCGATGATCTCCGTACTATACCCCGGAAACTATCATTACTCCCAACTCCCTTAATCTCGCTCCACATTTTTCGCAGAAAGTCTGTTCTCTGTTTTTTAATTAATTCTGATCCTAATAAAATTGTCAATGTGAGACCTAAAGTCAAAAGCACTGTATACGAGGCGTCAGGAACAAGTTTATGCGAACGTGAACCTCTTACGACTTATGACGAGCTAAGGAATGCGTCGCAGTTTCTCTTGGTTTTTCATCATGTCCGGTGATGTCTGAATAAAATGTATATTCAGCGGTCAGTGAAACCAATCGATTTTTACAAAACTTATATCTGTACAAAAAATGTACACATTTTATGCTTAGGATACCAAGTCCCTTATTTCTTCTCTATATCATCGTCTTTTTTATCTGATGCTTTAGGCGCATCCACAGTCTCAACTTCTTCCTCATCAGCAAAAAGTTCCTCCGTCAATTTTTCATCCATTATTGGGCCGAATTTACTCATCTCTTCCACACTCTTCAAGAAGAGTTTGTGCTCTTCAGCTGTAAGCTCTTCCTCCTCTGTGTCGTTACTTTGGCTTGCCGGTACAGAGTCGGCCATGTCGTACTGACGAGACCGAGCCGCGTCACCGAAAATGCTAGTGAGGGAGAAGTGCTTCATAAGAGGATCTGGAACTTCAGGACCTGTGATGTTTGCCATGGTTTCAGTCCCGTTATCTCCATCTTCATTGCTCTGAAAACAAATTGAAATAGGAATTAGTTGAACCGGGAATAAATTTGGATTAATACATTGTATCCATTATGCTGATTCACGCCTTTTATTCATTTTTAGGATTAACACGTTTTATTTTGTAATGTTTGAGAAATACTTGGAATTGCTAATGGTGGATATATTCATGGTTTGGCATATTCCCAGTGGTGGGAATGACTAGATTTTTATTTAGAGGTTAGGAGTGATATGACTCATAAAAAAATACTTAAAAAAAATATACTTTTTGTAAAGGAGTTTTTCTTAAGAAAAAACAGGATTCATAAAATAACTTTTGCATCACAACAATTAAAAAGCAAACAGACCTTAGATGGCCTGTTAGACTTGTTGAGATAAATGCCCTGTAGCTCCAGTTTCTTTTCAGCTTTCAGCATAAGTTCTTGGTCAGATAAGTGTCCTTCTCTTGCTTCTATTTCTTGGTAGGCTTCAATAAATGCTCGACAAAAATTTGTTTTCTCCCATTTATATGCTTCATCAGCATTAACAGTTTGTGGACATCCATATTTCTGGTAGAATTTCCTGTGCAAAGAATAGATGTTCAAGCTTCAAAAAAAAACATTATTATCATTACTACTAGCATAAGAACCACACTCCACAACCCAACTATTTCCAACCAATCACAACTAATCTATTTATAACTTGGTAGCCAACTAAGTATTGAGACTTTCCGATTGGAGATAGGAGGAAAAGTTTCCTATTTATTTAGGTACCCGGTAAGTTACAAATTTATTTTCAGTTCAAAAGAATACTAAAAAGTGATCAGGAACCTATAATTAATACTTAAATTTAAAACTCACGCTCTGATGACATCTTCAGCATAGAAAATAGGCTTCACAGTGAGGTATGATTTGGGTCTGTCATAGCGAGGGGCTTCCAAGGGGGGGAAGGCTTCATAGATGTCATACCACAAGGGCTTGTCTTCATTTTTAATGGCACCTGACTGTAGCAGCCCAGTAGTTCTGCAAAGAAACATTTCAATCAATTTTAGACCCCAGGCCAGGCAGGCCTAAGCAACATACTCATAGGGCTACAAAAGAATTACTAGGTTTGAAAGAATTAGGTACTAGGTTGCATACATAGTTTGAATTTTTTACACTTGTAGTCCTGTAGATGTAATGCATTGGAAAATAGAATATATATATGACAGCAAATAAAAGACTTTTATAATTGTCAATTTAGCTCACAGTGACAACTCACAACCTCATACAGTCATACTCGGTATGTTTATTCAATGTTACATGTATTAGATGGTTGCATGTATCAATATAAATTATTAAATATGTGATGTAAAAGTTAAAATCGCAGTTATTTGAATAATTTTTAGTGACTGATAACATAATTGAGTAAGCCTAATGGATAAATATCGTCTGCGAACTGACCTCGTGAAAATATCACCTATCTTGAATCGTCTACTACCAGCCATTCTTCAGAATATGAATCAAATTCAACTACTTTTTTATCATTCAGCACTTGCAAAAGTCGATTTCTTAATGACTTAGGAAATTTTTTCTTGCCAACTTTCGGCTTCAGGAACACAGCCGATGTTCATCAATTCCAGGAACAACATTAATCATGTCCGTCGATGCGGGAAAAGTATGTTAGTCTTTTCAGATTAATTGAAATCCGCATTTTGATTTACTTGAAAAAACCTAATATAGATAATTTATTATGACTTCTTTTGTATTTAATCATTATTCAATAAATTTTTATGAACTTCAGAACACGATTTTTCTTTCTTATTTTTTCTTCTCTTAGGCATAATATAGTCTTGCTGTCTGAAAAGCAATCAAGAGCCTCGATGTTTAAACGATTGTTGGAGGTGTCTGAGCCAAGGCAACGCGATCGTGGGTTTGACAACCTACTTTAGGTTGCTAAGGAGCTTTTGTTGAGTGTGATAATGTGGTTGCTGAATGTCTTGATATTTCGTTAAAGCTCCACAGAAATAGCTTCCTAGTTTTTGAAAAAATTTATTAAACCCAAATCACAATGGGTCACTCTAAAAAGAAAGCAAAAACTGGTGCATCTCGCAAGGATGGATATTATAAACTGGCCAAAGAAAAAGGTTAGTCATTTATGTTTTGTATAATTATATTATAATTTTATATTAATTTATTTGACAATATTACTCTAAAAAATACTATTAATAATAATATAAATATTATTAATAGACAATATTGCAGAGTGAATGCTGACTGCAGTAAAATGTTTTACCTACCTTTGTCTTTGAGTTTGAGATTTTGCTGGAACTTTAACATTTAAAGATCACATATTTTTTATTTGTATTACTGTGTAAATTTTATATTAATTTATTTGACAATATTACTCTAAAAAATACTATTATTAATAATATAAATACTATTAATAGACCATATTGCAGAGTGAATGCAGACTGCAGTAAAATGTTTAACCTTTGTCTCTGATTTTTAGATTTTGCTGGAACTTTAATATTTAAAGATCACATATTTTTTTATACATATTCAAAATTTTGCATCCCAATTTTACCAAACTGAAAAATTAGACCAAAAAAATACATGGGAATGAGACACAAAAATGCAAGATTGGGATTCTCCTACCTACTATGCTCTAGGCCCCTAGCTAGCGGCGGCCGCTAGCAGACTGTCTGCTAGCCTACTTGTTTCTGAAATCTCGTGGCTCCAACATGACAAAATTTTAATACATTTGGAATCTTGCAGCCCGATCCTTCCCTTTTGTTACCAATTATATAGGAGGTAATTCTTCTGGCAGAAATCTTGCCATTCCAGAAATGGTAGGAAAACTTCAGTCCTTAAGTTAAGGTAGATGTTTTCCACGCTGGCAAAAATGTACTTATATATGGTTAGTTAACTCAGTTTGGCCCATTTTATAGCCATTACTTAACTTTTTTGGTAAAAATGGCATTTTTTGCAACTGGAAAATTAGGCAAAAGCTAGCACTCACCAGTGAATCAGAAAAAATGCCCTCTCTACAATTTCTCTAATAAATAAACCTACAATTTTTTAAACATGCACATGAAACTGAAAGTCACATTTTTGCAAGCCATTTCAGCAAAGTTCTACTTACTATTTCGAATTGGTGGTCAACAGGTCATGAACATAAAATTCATTGCCCCATGATGCCTACCCTCAGGATACCGTAAAATGGGGTTACTTTGACCGGCGGGGTAACTTTGACCACTTTTTGTTTTTTTAACAAATACCCCCAAAACTCAAAAACGATTCGACATAGAAAAATTTTGTTAATGGCGATCAAAGGCCTAATACTGAGGCTACGTAACACAATAGAAAGATTTAAAAAGTTTGCATATCTGATAGGTTAAAAAATTAAAAATGTGACCCATGAAAAAGAGCTACCGGTATTATTTAAAGCCTGTCGGAGTACCCCCTCCAATTTTTTCATTTTTTTGGTAAAATAACTCCAGGTTTTGATGCATTGTAGTAGAACTCTTCTAGTTACATACCTATGCAAAAGACAAATTTTAGGAAAGCGTCATAGTTTGCAAATGGGGGGTGCTGCCCCCCAATGGGGCAACTTTGACCACCTAATGGCAGTTGTGACGAGGTAACATTGACCGGCTTGGAAATTAAGTTAAAATTACCTAGGTACCTATATAACATATTTTATGTTTGATACACCTATTAATGTTTTTTTCTTTATGTTTCATACTCTACAGAGTCTTATATATGGTAATTTTAACTTAATTTCCAAACCGTGTTTCAGACTCTACAGAGTCTTATATATGGTAATTTTAACTTAATTTCCAAACCGGTCAATGTTACCCTGTCACGGCTGCCATTAGATGGTCACATTTCGCCCATTTGGGGGCAGCGCCCCCCATTTGCAAACTATGACACTTTCCTAAAATTTGTCTTTTGCATATGTAACTAGAAGAGTTTTACTACAATGCACCACAACCTGGAGTTATTTGGAGTTATTTTACCAAAAAATAAAATTGATTTTACCACAAATTACATCAAAACTATGAGAGGCAGGAGCCAGCAATTTATGGTGAGTAAAGCTAGAGTATAGACCTGTATTTTGCATGTTTCAATTGAAGTTTAACTTATCTAGTAAAAAAATGGCATCATTTTGAAAAAAAGTGGTCAAAGTTACCCCATTTTATGGTATAGTTCTAAAAATCATGATTCATATATTCAAAATAGATTTAGTTGGATAACTTGATCAGTTCTAAGAAATTAGCATACTACTAAGTATAGTAGTTATGTAAGGAAAACCTTGTATTATAAGGAAAACCTTGTATGATCACTTATTCATATATTCTTCCTATTAATGTATTACTCCCTGCTGGCTGCCAGTGGCCTCCATCTTTGTCTCATTCACTAGTGGCTTCTGCCCAATTTGCTGTGTTGAAAGAATTTTATGAAGATAATTCGTCTAGCATATGTATATGGTATATATGCTTTAAAAGTTGCTACATGATTGAAGATTCAAGTTCAAAAGTACATAGATATTTTTCACATTAAGTGTGGTGTTTTCAAAATAGAATTCAAAGTGAAAAAAACTAACTAATCACCTGTAATCATATGAGAAATTCATCTTCTGGCCTTTGGCCAAGAATGGATGAGATTTTTGGAAGTGTTAAGCATTGTTATCAAAGCCATAGTCTATTTTTTTAATATTCCAGCTATAACAAATAAAAGGGTACATTTTAACCCATAATTTACAGAAAATTGCCTCTGGATAGCCTGGATTTACCATCATTTTTTGTAAAAATTTGCTTGATAATTCTATAATATGTGTGCTTATTTATATACTGTATATATAAGCAAAAAAATGCATTAGCAAAAACATTTTGCTTGAGGCAGTATTCTCAGTTTTACCTAAATTGCAGAGGTTCTGTAGAATCCTCTTTATTTTGTGTAATGTTAATGGAAAAAATGTTTGCAACATGAAAAGATTTGAATGTCTCCATGAGTCCATGGATATATGCCTGTAATTTTTTAATTGATATTTGTCATTTTGTTTTCCAAGATTGTAGAGTTTGCTTGGAAGAAATCCCCACACAAAATTACAACAGTTTAATTTACAATTTGTTTGCAGGTTACAGAGCTCGGTCTGCCTTCAAGCTGGTCCATTTGAACAGCATCTGTGATAATTTCTTCAAGAATGCCAAAGTTTGCATTGATTTGTGTGCAGCACCTGGCTCCTGGATGCAGGTAACTTACACTTTATTTATTACTAACCAAAGGGTTTTAAATCAGCATGAGTTTCCATCATTTACATCAGGGTTGGCAATGATTAAATCAAAATGATTAAATCATGTGATTAAATCATGATTTTTTTTATTTTTTCGATTTTTTTAATTTTTTTGATTTTTTCATATATTTAAAAATATTGAGTGGCAGTCTGTAATTTATATTGAGGTATTGTTCATGGTTTAGTATAAATGTACTATGAATGACAAATTGGTACCTATATAAACTTGTTGCCTTTAGTGTGTATTAGGTTCCAATAAATGGAATGTTTTTGGTACAGAGGCCTCAAGAGTGCAATACATTTTACATAGCTAGTAGCTTAGCTAATTCTTATAAGGCTATAAGTAGTCTAACTATTTGACTATTTGTTATATATTGATTATAATATACAATTTAAATGTGTTAGCTAGCTTATACAGGGTGGGGCAGAACTGATTGAACAGTTTTGAGGCAAAATAAAAGAGTAATGGAGGTACATTAAGAAGAAAGTTTATTTTCCTCATGATTAGCATAACATACCATTTAAAATACTTATGTTTTGAAAACAAATTAAACAATATCAGGAAGATGGGGTTTGTTAGCTGCATCACACTGTTGGAGTTGTTCTCGGAAGTTTCCTAAAGCACGTTCACACATATGGCAAGGTATGGCCATAACCTCTCCTGCAATAATCCGTTCCCTTAGCTGTGGTAGGGTGTGAGGGCGACTTCTGAACCTCTTTCTTTTAGATGTCCCCAAAGAAAGCAATCGCAAATGCTCAAATCAGGTGACCTCGCAGGCCACTGTAAATCACCCCTCAGAGACACCAGACGTCCGGGAAACATGCATTTCAAAACATTGAGTGACATTCGAGCTGTGTGAGCTGTAGCCCCATCCTGCTGGAACCACATGTCTGTCAATGCTTCATTTTCAACAAGTTTTCCATCATAGGCTGCAAGAAATTTTGCAACATTGCAGCATAGCAATCGGAATTCACTGTCATGGTTACTCCCTCCTCTGAGAACGACTCCAACCGTGTGTTGCAGCTAACAGCCCCCATCTTCCAGATATTGTTTTCGAAACATAAGTATTCTAAATGGTATGTAACCTCTAGGAAAATAAACTTTCTTCTTTATGTACCTCCATTACTCTTTTATTTTACCTCAAAACTGCTCAATCGGTTCTGCTCCACCCTGTACATTGAGAGGTTGAGATTGTATTGAACTTTTAGGCAATTAGAAAGATTTTCCACCCTAATACGAGTATTCTAATTGAAATATTTAATTTCAATCTTTAAATATGTGAATTTAAAACTAGAAACAAAACAATTACAATTATAAGACTATATATAAAAACCATACAAACTTTACAAAGCTAATGAATAGACTTATCAATAATTGTTTACCCGAAAATCCCTAAGTGGTAAACACCACCTTGGCCTGTTGGCCATTATTGGAGGCAATAAGTGCCCTTTTTAGCCATCCATTATGATCCATATACTGTTATTGTTAGGAGGCTAATTGCAACATAAAAAATAACACCTCAAAAAAGACAAAAAAGCTGAAAAAATCAATAAAATCAAATAAATCAAAAAAAATCGTGAAAAAATAAAAAAAATCATTGATTTTTGATTTTTTTGATTTTTTAAAAAAAATCAAAAAAATCGCCAACCCTGAATTTTACATAGATTGTCTTGATTATCTCAAACTCGTTATTAGCTTAGTAAGAAGTTCATCTGCATTAGTACTCATAATAATAATTAATCTTGGTACTTATTGTACAAGTAGGTAATGATTATGTATACTTTTCTTTAATAGGTACTTCATAAAGTTATTCTTTTATATTCACCTATTGATAGATATTATCTTCAAAAACAATTGTTTTACTCTTTACAGCAACTTCAAGCCTTTTTGCTGCTCTATAATATTTTTCTTCAAGCTGTTTTTTTAGTTCATGCATGGTTCACTTTGTTTATGCAAACCACAAGGCTGGTTATGCTTTACTAAGTACATTTTCCTGTGCAGGTTGCAAGGGAGTTTATGCCTCAAGGATCTGTAATTGTTGGCGTTGATCTTCACCCCATCAAAGCTATTCCTAAAACTCTTAGTATCCAAGGGGACATCACAACACAGTCGCTCAGAGCTGAACTGCGCAACACACTTAAGAACTACAAAGCTGATGTAGTGCTACACGATGGTGCTCCAAATGTTGGTATGTGCACACATACTCTCCATAGGCATAAATGTGCTGTTATGTTTCCTGTGTATTTTAAACTGAACTTGTTTTTCCTCTGGGTCAACAGTGGTGACTGGAATTTTATTTTGTAGTCTTTATATCTGTCTTGAATATTTTTTCTATTTCTATGCCAGTTTCATGAAAATAACAAATGATTTGGATATAAATATGATGGAATTTATTGATTTAATTTTGTCACCTAGAATCTTGTAAGATGATTGCTCTTGAAACTGATGTCTGGTATGAAATGGTGCCAAGATTAGTTCATATTAATGAGTCAAGAGCACAGTGGAATTATATAGTTAATATGAACTGGTATTTAGAGCAAATTGAATAATCAGGCTTATGTGCATTTTTTATGTCTTAACTTGTTCAGACATGAGTCCTAGGCACAAGATGTTTGAATGGCCCTGTTAATAACAAGAAAATATTTCTCATTTGTAAACCTGTGTGTATAATACTAAGCTAATACAGACTCTGTTTGCGGCAGCACAGCAATGCAGCTCTTGAATGAATGCATTTGTTTCAGGCAAGAACTGGACTCAGGATGCATACGACCAAAATGTCCTGGTGCTTCATGCCTGTAAGCTGGCTTGTGAATTTTTAAGATATGGAGGCCATTTTGTGACCAAAGTTTTTCGAAGCAAAGATTCCACTAAACTGGAATATGTTTTCAAAAATCTATTCAAAGATGTAAGTATTTATTTCTGTTGTTTGAATTGCATATTTAAGTGGTAATTATTATATTATATTGAAAGTGATTATGATATTCTCCTATTGCAACTAATTATGAAGTGATGCCTGTTAGAGTAATTTAACAAATCGTCTTTTGATTAACTTAATCTCTTCATTCCCATTATTATTGTATTTAAAATGGTTAACTTAATTTTACTAAAAACGTATTTAAGTTTAGTCTATTAATTAAACTGATAGTTAGTATAGCTTCTTCTAAATAGTTTATCAATATGACTTTGTATTTTCAAGTAGTTGATCATGGCATGAATGCGTTTTTAGTTGAGTTGTATCTTGTTATCACCATATCAACTTTTTCTGTGATTTTTACAGATCAAGTGCACTAAGCCACAAGCCTCACGTTACGAGTCTGCAGAAATTTTCTATGTTTGCAAATTTTACAAAGTTCGACCAGATGACAAAGTGGACCCTCAGTTCTTTGATGCCAAGCATGTATTTGCTGAGGTCGAGCCTACTGAAGCAAAGAGGGTGAACCTCAACAGACCAGAGAAGGTGAGATATTTAAAGCCTCTTACACTAATTGTGAAATTTTTATAGTGACAGGACCAAATATATAGTTGAATTTATCGCGACAGAACTATATATACGGGATAAATTGGTATAAATTGCTCATTTATACCGGGCTTGAGAAGAAAAGATATGAATTCTGGAAAGTAGTTGAATGCAGTTACATGTTGTAAGCTTGTAACTTAGTTTTGTGTCAGTGTGATCTAAAAATTTTAGGTGGTAATGTCGGTTCCATGAAGTGAAAACTATTAAATTGGCTCTAGTAATATTCGCAACCTTATTTTCTAATGTTCTCATCATGCCCAAGGGCTGTACCGTCAAAAATAGTTACATGTTGGTTACTCCATCTGTCCATCAGAAAATTGCTGACAGCTTTTAAAGTCAAACCAACCAAACAAAGACAATGAATTTGCCGCTATGTGTATTGAAGCAAGCTTTGTGTGTACGGGCCCATTTTAACCAGTAAATTTTGGTATATATAATCTCAATAGGTTATCTCTATTGCTAATATCTATATTGTGTACAGGTGAAGAAGAAGAGTGAAGGCTATGAAGATGGCGCCGAGATCCTCTATTCTGAGTCCACAGTCACCGACTTCATCGAGAGCACCAGACACGAGGAGCTGCTTCAGAAGACATCCAAGGTGTGCTATGGCCTTGTGCTTCTTGCACAGTAGGATTTGTGATGTAAATTATGTAACATTTTTATGTTTTGCCAGAAGTTCTTCCATTGTGAAAGTTTAATTTAATGCCAAAGAATAGTTGTTAGTTTTTCCAATGAGCCAAATGAAATTATACATAAAAAGTTTTTTTGGCTTTCGTCAAAGTTGCACAGATTATGTGATTATGTTTAATTTTTTCTTCTGTTGTCTGATTATTACCTCAAACAAAGCAGTTCACACAAAATTAAGAGTTGTTTTTATTCCGCGATTCCTTTATACTGTTCGTTTTTTCCAGTAAGGAATTAAATCTTTTATGAACTTGGAACTTGTTTACTCTTTGAATGAAATTTTTGACCAAGTACAATCTGCATGTAACAGCATGATCTGACCGTTTAATTTATTCTTCATTTGCAAACTTTACATTGTATGAAGTAGATGTTTCAACAATTTTTATTTAGTCATGATACGTGTACTTATTATTCCTCAGCTACTATAAGTGGATGTTATAAAATGTTGTATTCATTTAATGTTTTGTTGCAGTTGGTGATCGATGAGCGCTGGCAAGACCACCCGAGCCTGACGAAGGAGATCATTGCTTGCTGCCAGGACATCAAAGTGCTGGGCAGGAAGGAGCTTAAGATGTTGCTTATATGGAGGAAAACTCTAAAGGTTTGTAGCATAAATTACTCATTATGTTCCATAAGAATTTTCTCAGTTATTTTTTGGTGTCTCTATTCCCATGCATAGATTTGTATACTACATCCAATTATTTGGCTGTCTCATTGGAGCTCCTATGATTTTTTTATTGTTCACTTATGCGTGAGTATTTGATTTTATTACATGAAAATAATAAAACCCATTAATTGTGTGACAGTTGGCTGAATGGTTCTTTTCAATCTTTGGTCAATTTAGCCACATGTAGTTTATTGTGAGCTTTAATTGACTATAAATTTATATATGAGGTGTTAATGCTCAATTTATATACCTACTAGGTGTTAATGCTTGATTTATATACTAGATTTTAATGCTTAATTTATATACAAGGTGTTGATGCCTAATTTATATACAAGGTGTTGATGCTTAAGTTATATATGTGTTAATGCTTAATCACAGAGAAAGGCTACATGTACTGAGGCCGCTACATGTTTTAAATGTACTAGGGCAGCTACATGTACTCAGTCCGCTACTTATAACTCAGTGGGTTATGATAGTATGGATCCAGAGTTTATTAGTGTTTATTTTACAGGCTGAATATGATGCGCTGAAGAGTTTAGAAAAGGACACAACCAAAGACACAGCAGCCACAGAAACTGCAGGTGAAGCACAAGAAGATGAGGATGAGGAGACCAGGATACGCAAACAAATACAAGAACTGGAGGTTTGTTGATTACTATTATTATTATTACTAATATTATTATATTATTGATAATAGCATCATTAATGGCATTATTTCATTGTAGTTTGACGTGTTCAAAGTTGGCGTTTGCTGCATCGGTTTTGTATACAATCTTCAACATCCCTTTTTCTGATGTCAGTCAAATTCATTTATGGCGTTAATTATTCATTTATGGCGTTAATTATTCATTTATGGCGTTAATGGTTGTTTAGATAAAAGCAAAGCCTTGTTTTTATTCTTCAGGTATGCATTTTTGCCGTTTCACGAGATATGTTTTGCAAATAAAAATGAATTTCAATTAATTTTATTTATTATAATAATTTTTCATTATGATTTATTGTTAAATTTGACTTCGGAATCAAACTGAAGTCTATTTTATTTAATTATTCATGAATTTAAAGAACTTTGCTCCGTTATTTATTGCTCAATTTGACTTGTAAGTTCTGGAACAATGCATTCAATTCATAGAGTTAATTGATGTCAACAGGACAAGTCACGTGCAGAAGACAGCCACCAGAAGAAGGCTGTGAAGAAGCAGCGCAAGCAGCTGCAGCAAAAGCTGAAGCTCATGGCGCTCAGCGGCTCTGCTGAAGTTCAGCGGGATGAAACTCTCTTCAATATCAAGGACATGGAACGAGTCAGTGCCCCAGGGGGCCATTTTTCACTTAAATTATTTGATCAAATAATTTTATTTTGATCTGTTTGAGCTTTTTTATCTGTTGATTCATTGGTGTTACTTTGATTAAAATAATAGTAATCATGTGTGAAACTCGTGTTAATTGTTGGTAATGTAGTACAAAGTTCCTAATCCACTGATGCATTACTATGAGTGCTTTTGATCATGTGATGAGTATTAAACTATGAATATAATTTCGTTGCAGCATCAAGATGATTATCATGATTAATTATTAATGACATGTCACATTACAGGTTCAAGACCCTGACGTGCTGATGGCACAGTACGACAAACTGCCCAGCGATGACGAGGAGGAAGCACTGCCCACCAGGGAGCGCTACAGAAAGACTGACTACGAGCTTGATGAAAGTGGCACGTAAGTATATGCTTCATAAATTATTATTGATCACACAGCCATATTGATGTAGTATTTTCTGTTTTTTGTCCAGACACTTTGTTTAGCTGATGAAATACCATAAGCATTCTAACTCTAGAATGACACGCACTGTGCCTAATTTTTCTTTTGTCTCCATAGACAATATGGTTTTTGTTGAGATAATATTTGTGTGTCGTATTACCGAGTATTAGATAACAGATCTTAGACATTGCCGATTCAGATATTAGATATTCAATTGTTACTGTGTTGCAGATATTACCGACGTGTTGGTGACGTGTCAGACTCAGAGTCGGAGGACGAGACTCCTGAAGCTGGTGAAGGACTCTTCAAGAAAAAGAAGAAGAAGAAAACGATCCTTAAAAGCGACGGCGTCGAATTTGTGTCCCAAGAAGACACATGCAAATTGCCTAAGAAATCCGTACGATTTGCCGATGATGAGGACTCGAGTGATGATGATAGTGACTCCAGTGATAATGATGAAGACCTTCAGGAGTTGAGGAAAGGAGAGGAAGATGAAGGGGATGATGAGGAGGCTGCAGGAGAGAAGTTCACCACGGATCTCATGGGGGATGATGAAGAGGATCAGAAGGAGCGCACGGCTGAGTCCTGGTTTGCTAAGGTGATTAAATCTTGGCTCAAATTTTCCCCTGAATTTTCAATTGGTGTTGAAATGTTAAAATTGTTTAGTGGTCTCTTTCCATTTTCAGGATAATAAAGTTTTTTGAACCGCTGTCCAATAAAGCAATATAAATTTCAGAACGAGCTGCTGACCAACCTGATGTCAGATGATGAAGAGGACTTGGACTTGGAGGTGTCGGCGGCCATCAAATCTTACAAGAGCAAGGGGGGACTTGTGTTGGGCGGGGACGACGCTGAGGACACCCCTGAGTCTGACAGTCTTCTTACTTCAGACAACAACAAGACAAACAAAACAAAGAAACAAGAAAAATCCGAGCCGCTCAAACCTGATGCTCAAAAATCATCCAAGGACTCCATGATGCCTAAAGCTGGTCAGTTTCCTGAACTAAACCATCATTTTTAATTTAATATAAATAAATAAAAAAAATAAATAAACATGTTCCAAGGAATAATATAAAAATCGTATATATTATTTACAAATGCAAAGGTTTTGGCAATGATTTTAAGCTTGCTCACAATAACTTGTGTCAGGCACAATTTTACCTTGTCCTTCATGCTTTAACATTAGGACTCACTAACTCTCAAGCTGGAGAGTGTGAATGTATCATTTCTAATGATTTATCTTATAATTATTAATGATTTTAATAACTACTTATTTGTTTACGACATAATTAACTGACGTAAAGGCTATACCTGTCTGAGGACCTTGTAAGGAGAGTTATCCTCGGTTGGCAAACACTTGGTTCAGTGACGCTGTTTCAGGAATTTATATGGCCTGAAATATGCCTTAATTACTCCATTAGTGTGCACATTGGACTTGCTGTTGCTGCCTCAAATGTTCGAAACCATAAGCTTTTGCTGAAATTTACACACTTGAAGCATTTGCTGAATTGCTATAGATCAGGAAACCTATTCTCTGGTATTACATGACACTTGTTAGAACACGTGTAAGGTGTGTTATTAAATTACACATATGATGATTTTGTTCCTTAGTGTTGGAACACAAATTAGATGTCTATTAAATTTCATAAATGCCGTATAGTCAGATGGGGTAAGACAGGACCAAAATCACTAACAGGCATGTAGCATCTATACCATGAATAACTAAAAAATCCTAAACTTATCATAAGGTGTGGTTATGCAATGGGCTTCAAAGCTACAACTCAGACTTGTTGCATACAACACAGTTTTCTGTACAGATTAAAAAAATTGAGCTGGTCCCATCTTACCCCAATGGGGTAAGATGGGATCAGGCTGGGGTAAGAAAGGACCAACAGGTAATTCTTATGTTACAAGGTTTTTAGTAAAAATATAAATCTGATAGGTATTCAATATTATCCATCTAGAAACACATTATTTGATTAAACAACCACTTGTTACTGTTTTGTGTTGTGGGAAGTCAACTCTAATATCAGACATATTGGAGGTTTTGTCACGAGAAAACTTTGTTGACATTAAATGCAGCCATATGATCCATTTAGTCTTTTGAGCAAAAAATATGGATGATATTATATAGTTGGCATAGTTAATTATCATTTTATACTTTACTTTTGCTAGCAATAATAAGAAGTCCAAGAAACTTGCAAGAAACTCCAGTATTTTAGCAATAATGCCTTATTCGAGATTGAAATTTTCAAAGAAATTTGGTGAGAGTGAGCAAAAGATAAAAATTTAGACCAAAATACTCCAGTTACTGCATAATAATATATTCATTTAAAAACTATTTTTGATATACTGTAGGGTAATAGAGGACCATTTGTGGGGTAAGACTGGACCATATGTGGTGTAAGATAGGACTGTTTGTGGGGTAAAACAGGATCATTTAATGGTCCCGTCTTACCCCATGTCCGGTCCTTTTTTACCCCGTTTTAGAATACATGTCAGGCAGTGATGGTAGCAGGTAGAAATGCCAAGTATGTGTCAAAAGTAGCTTATTACTTGAGGTTACCTGCCTACATCCACAAACCTGGCCAAAAAATTTTTTGTGACTAGACAGAGCTTATTTCCTAAACAGGGTTAACTATTTTGTGACCCTTCTTCACATAGGTTTTCTTTAAAAATTAGCCAGAAATTCAATATTTGCAGAAGAGGGTTGAAACAAACACTGAAATGACAGGCAATGATTGCTCTAACATATTCTTTTGTCAAATTAGATTTAGTGCAATTAGAATGCACACCATGGGCTGGTCCTTTCTTACCCCATGAAGGCTGCGATCCTGTCTTACCCCATTTGACTATATTAGCTTCAAGTGCTAAAGCACAAATTCGTTTTTTTCTTGAAATTGTTTGTGTTTTTAAGATTGAAATAAATTGTGTAATTGCAGCGGAGCAAACGGCGGTGGGCGGCGTGGACGGCGCAGGGACGACGAGCAGTAAGATCACCGCCAAGAGGCTGGCTGACATGGACGCCGTCGCCCTCGCCCTCGGCACTAAACTCGTCAAGTCTAAGAAAGCCAGGCGCGAGATATATGATGATGGCTGGAATAGGTGAGGCATGAGATATATGATGATGGCTGGAACAGGTGAGGCGCGAGATATATGATGATGGCTGGAACAGGTGAGTTATGAGATATGTGATGATGGCTGGAACAGGTGAGGCGTGAGTGATGGCTGGAACAGGTTAGTCATGAGGGATGATGTTGGCAGAGGTGAACAGGTGAGGCGTGAGTGATGATGTTGGCAGTGGTGAACAGGTGAGTCATGAATGATAATGTTGGCAGAGGTGAACAGGCGAGTCATGAGTTTTTATGAAGGCTGAGGTTAATAGGCGAATCGTGAGCGGCGCTCTAGCGTGGCCTGGGACTACTACATCCGAAAAACATTCTAGATATACTAAGGAGGATTTTTATCTGTTGATGTTGGCAGTGGTGCACCCACTAATGCCTTACACGCTCTCAGGTACATGGTGGGGGGCGAGGAGGACCTGCCTGCATGGTTCGTAGAAGACGAGAGGGAGAACATGGCGCCGGTCTTGGATGTTGACGAGGTAAATTGCCTCAAGAAGTCTTCCGTTTTGCTTACTAGACATTCATTTCACCCGTTCTGGACATTCTAGGCATGCTTACACTGGACCTTATTTGATTGCTACTACAATGAGACAAGGGTTTCTGTTAATTTAGTTTAGGTCCTGCATTTAGCTGCGCAATGCCTTCGTCACTTCTTAGTCGAATGTGTTATTATATTCAGATTGTCATGGATATTTTTTCTTGTATATGAAGCAACCTCAATTTCCATTATCGATTGGCAACTTTTTTTACCAACTTATCGCTTTATTTTCTTCAATCGTTTTTTTACATCATTTAACAAATTATGCAAATTTGTGACTCACTAATAGCCAAAAATTTTATAATTTTATTCAGTGACTGATGCTAATTTACCACCCACTCTAAACCCACCATTTTTGTTTGCGCTATTCAAAAAGTCACGCTAGTTTACCCCCACAAAGTCACGCTAGTTTACCCCACAACTTCTTGCGGGCAGAGCGACGTGCGCATGTTCAAGGCACGTGACCGCGCCGTGAACGTCCGTAACCTGAAGAAGGTTATGGAGGCGAAGGCCCGCAAGCAGCGCAGGTTCAAGAAGACCATGCAGAAGGTCGTGAAGAAGGCCGAGGCTATGCAGGGCAGCGGCTTGGGTGACGTCGAGAAGAAGCAGGAAATTAAGAAGTACGTCATCTTGTTTTATTTTCTTGTGTTCTTGTGATGTAATCAGCAGTGCGTGCCTATCGCATTTTGATGGCTAGCATAAGACCTCCCTAAGTACTTCTGTCTTAAATACCGCTACTATACTCGGAAGCACTCCTTTATCAAGTTATCCATTCATTAGGACTTCTTTATTAAGTTATCCATTCATAAGGACTTCTTTATTAAGTTACCCATTCATAAGGACTTCTTTATTAAATGATACCTAATTAAGTACTGCCTACATAAGATCTCCCATCCCCGGTTATCTTCCTTCCCTGGTTCTCCCTTCCCGTTTTTTTCCTTCCATAGTTCTCTCAAGTTTTTCATTCATGTCTCCCCTTCTCCCGAACTAGGAAATTTCTAAATTATTTTTCTGCAATTTAACTTTTCGGTTACTGTTCTGTACAAAATCCAATGTCTGCTTACTACCCTCGAGGTTCTGCTGGAGTTCTGTGTATCCTGTCACTGCTGGATATTCTTTTCCAAAGTGAGAATTATGATTTTACTGAAAATAACCTCATTGTTTACCCCGGCAGTTTGTACAAGAAGGCGATGAGCATGACGAAGAAGAGGGAGACCACGTACGTCGTCATGAGCAAGAGAAACAAAGGCAAGAAGCCGCGCAGCGTCAAGGGGCGCTACAAGCTCGTCGACGCGCGTCTGCGCAAGGACGTGCGCGGCAAAATGCGCGCAGATGCACGAAGAAAGAAGTTCACTACGCCCAAGAGACGAAAATAATAACTTGCTTATTATATGTAAAGATAAAAGTGATATTTTATTAGTCCTGTGACTCCTGTCGAACTTGAGATCAACGATTTGTCTCGGATGACGCGGTTACGCCAACAATACATGCAAAATTCGTGCTAAAATATTTTCAACACGCGGCTAAAAAATGGAGCTCGACATTAACCAAGGTGCTCAAGAAATAGTTCGAGATTCTAAGATCTAATTTTTTAATGTGTCGTTGAACTTGATGAATTTACTAGTGATCTATTTCCATGGTTTCTATATTGTTGATTTATTGTCGTATTATCTGAAAAAGACCAGTGGCCGTGATATCAAAACGTACACGTACCGTCTCAAATGCATTTAATGGCCGATTCCTCATCTCTGATTGGTGCATTTCGCTTGCAAACCTGGTCAGTGATTGGCTGACGGGACTTACAACAATCTCATAAGTATTTTTAATAGTACGGCGCCTGATGTCATGCAATGATATTCAGGATCGAGTCCCGGATGCATCTGGTATTTCCCGCCAGTATTTCATGATAGTCTGGTTCATGCCCTAAGACCAGGAGGGTCTTGGTGCTGCCGCAGGCGGTGGAGCTGACACCTCTTCTCCTGAGGGAGGGTTGTGCTGACGCTTCTCCTGAAGGAGGCTGACCTCCACTAGGGGAATGTTGCGAGCTCCCCCGGCTAGTCTGCGCGATTGTGCAAGATGTGGGGTTCTATCGATATGGCTCCTTAAATGGGTAGTACTATGAACTAATATTTCCTCTGGAAACTGACGGGGGTTGAACGATTCAAAACGCTAGTAACTCATTAATTAAAATAAATGATTAGATAGCCTGGAGGAAGTAACCCCCTATCAGTTACCCCTGGTTACCCTTCGCATTGCAGTAATATGCATGTTACCATTTCATGAATATCATTAACAGAGTTATACATGACTAAATTATAATAATAAAGATATTTTAACCTAAAAAAACAACCATCAATATGTGGGCTACTGGCCTAGAGTAAAAGGTTTAACTTGGAAGGCGACATTATCATCGGGGCGAATGGAGATCGACAGACTACAGATGCTCATTATCATCGGGATGATATCGGGTTGCATTGATGGAGCCTCCCAACAAAACTGACCTGTACAATTTCATTTACATTCGAAAGCCTGTGTATACATCGTAGCTGCCTTTCCTGCTCTAGAATATGCGATATTGAACTAACTGCAGTCAAAATCTGTCGTATATCATTAGTATAACGTTGCAGCGTTGTGAGAAGAAATGGTTCTGCCAGTGCGGTGACGGCGACGGGGTTATCTCTATACAGAATCTCTTATAATAATAATAGCGGTTTCAGCGTTTAGTAGGCCTTTCGCCGATTCTTAACATCGCAGAACCTCCACAGTATTTTGTGGTCTCGAACTCGCAACTCACTGCTACAATTCTGCTGAGATTAACCGCCCGGCCTCCTTGCCGATTCTGACCAGAAACTGGCGCACAGAGCTGGGATCGAACCCGCGCCTCTCTGCGCCAATCCTGGTACTCTAAACTTTAACCACTGGGCCACCCTGCTATAACTTCAACCACTGTTGAGTCTTAATTCACTGAATAAACCTGTAATTAATTTTATAGTGTCAGTTGCTTTCATAGGATTGTTACACTAGGAAAAAATGGACATTCTAAACCCGTCCACATACTGGGTGGGCAAGAGGTGCTACCGCGTCTTGACTCATCATGTTGAGGCCTCACACATCAACTATGCCGAGGAGGATGAGTATTATGGTGAGTGATATGTAGAGTCACGGTTGAACTAGTATATAGTTCAACTATTTGTTGAGTGTGCAGACAAATACCATGTGTTAACCTATCATGTTGAGTCTTCACACATCAACTATGATGAGGAGGATGAGTATTATGATGAGTGACGTATTGTGTTCGACAATATCGACAGTGCCACGGTCGTAACATGTGTTCAACTACTGGTTTATTGAACGCGAACGCATTCAAGGTTAGGTCGAGTAATAGTAATAATGATGAAAGCGTTCATTGAGCCATGTATGGATATTCACTGATTCCTGACATCCCAGCATTCTCGCAGCTTGCTGGCATTAAACCCGAAATTCACTGCTCTAATCCTGTTATATATACTTTGAACTATAACCCCTTGGCCATCATGCTCAAGGAGTCTAAATTAGGCTTTGGTCGTTTTAGCTTCTGAACTTAATTACCCAATCATTACCTCTGTTCACTTTAATAACTCAGTCATTATATCTCGTGTAATGATCCATCATGTGCAAACGTGTCACGAACGTGTCACATTCTCGTTCAGTTTAGTCACCGTGTTTCCGTGTTAGGTGTGCGCGTCGCTATCTCCAGGAGTTCGCTTAATCATGGCAAATAATCTAGGAGGATTCTTTCCGGATATTTTACCGATGACAAAAGGTCGGTCAATAAAACTGACAGACAGCTCTTCAATATAAGATGGATAACATATTTTCCCCTAATATGCAGTTTTCATTGAAAGACGGCGAGTTAAGTACATTATGAAATGACGACTCTTGTGTCAACTGTCAATGAGGGTACAATTGCTCATTAACGTTTTGGATCATTTGTTGTGACATATTTTTGCCAGGCTTCATGTTTGTCGTTATAAATCTACTTGTATTCTTGGGCTGTTACGAAATTAGAAATTACATTAAATAGATTAAATCATTACTTCATTTGCTATTACTATTAGTATTTAGTAGTAGTATTACTACTGAACGTATTAGGTACGTAGGTCGCCGACACACGTACGAATATGGCCGCGTAGATACGTTCACATGCAGCCGCGGACGTGAAAAATTAATTACCTGCTAATTACTCAGAAATCGATTAAATTTGAAATAAAAGCCACAATTAAAGTAAAATAATTTAAATTAATTAAATTCAGGGTCTTTAACTTTATCGAATTGACATTTAATTTTATTTCAACATTTTAAAGTTTGGCTTCAATTTTTATTTAAACTTATTCCAGTGCAGTGAGTGGATAGAGGAAAGGACAATATAAATAACTATATAAATCTTCCTGCCTATGGAGTGAGACGTTGGCATTTGAGCAGATGAGGCCACAGCTGACAGTGAGGCCTGCGAGGAGGAGGCCAGTGAGGCCAGCGAATTTCCAATTGACCGTCTGCAGAGCGGCCTCTACCGTACAGCCTGGCATGTGCCCAGGTGAGATGGCCTCACGTGCCCAGGTGAGATGGCCTCACGTGCCCAGGTGAGCTGGCCTCACGTGCCCAGGTGAGCTGGCCTCACGTGCCCAGGTGAGCTAGCCTCACGTGCCCAGGTGAGGTGGTTGAGGGAAACCGACAAATTTGCGGCAGCATCACACGTGATGCCATCATCAGATATGCATCATTTTAAACTACCTCATCGCACTATCCTTCCAACATGTGTATTCCAGGAAAAGTTGAATGTGTTATTGAATTCAATAATGTTTCCCAAAGTAATTAATATTATTGAAAGTAACGACTAATCATTTATGACAGCGCGTTCTACGCGTACCTCATCGGGCGCAAGGGCGACACGCGGAGGCGGCTGGAGGCGGAGACGCAGAGCAACATCAGCATCCCGCAGCGGGGGGCCGGGGCTACCGAGGATATAGGTGAGGGGTGCAGGGATGTAGGTGAGGGGTGGGGGAGGGATGAAGGATGGGATGTAGGTGAGGGACAGCCTCCATAACCACATGCTGTGAAGTGAGCGAGACTCAAAAGGGTCAACCAGTGCTACATGCGGACTCTGTTGTTGCTGTGGCTGAGGAAGCGTGTCAATATTTTTATGATATGACATACGCTTTTTCTGAGTGAACTCGTTAGATTAATTTATTATATATGAAAATAATTAAATATTTGTTCTTCTCTAATTATTTATTGACCGAAAATATCGATTAATAAAATACGTGATTACCTTGTGACGAAATAATATCGCGTTCCCTAACACCGATGTTGGCAGATGTCGAATCGTGTAAACCTTGACGAAAAATTATTCCTTAGATATCCGCTTATAGTGAGTGTGGTGGTGATGGTGAGATTTGCCAGTTGACCACAGTGGTGACTATAGTGCCAGTTCACCGCAGTGGTGACTAGTGCCAGTTGACCACAGTGGTGACTATAGTGCCAGTTCACCGCAGTGGTGACTAGTGCCAGTTCACCACAGTGATGACTGATGACTATAGTGCCAGTTCACCACAGTGATGACTATAGTGCCAGTTCACCACAGTGGTGACGGGGCAGAGTGTGGCGAAGGTGCGGGCGGGTCGCCTGAAGGTGGCGCTGCTTGTGGAGCAGGCGAGGCAGAAATGTTCACCCACGCACTTCGTTTCCATCCCAGCAACGGCGCCCAATATCCAGGAGAGATTCCTGCAGTTCCAGGTGATATTGACTTGAAATTTAATATTGACGTTGAAATTGGTGGATAGCTAGAGGTCAGCATAGCCCAAGTCCACAGTGCTATTCGTATACCTTCCCGAGCGTAACGCAGCCGGGCATCTTCACGGCTTTTGACACAAAGCGCCCACCACAACAGCGCTGTTCAGTCACAGGCCGAAGCGCATACAGGCCGGAGCACAACTGGCCGGAGCTCAACAGGCCCTACAGCAACAGCTACTCCTAACCTAACCTAACCTGCACCGCCTGTTTCGCTCCGGCCAGTTGTGTTCCGGCGCTGTGGAGCAGTGGCTGTGTTGTGCAAAGCGGATTTACTGTTAGCCGGAGTTAGCCACAGCTCATTGATCGGAGGCTATGTGTAGAAACTGTAGATATTGCATGCAGATGGTTGGCGTTAGGCCCAGGGCCTGTTTACGAGTCAATTTTGTTACCCACGGCTGCGCTCCCGTTGAAATAATGTTGAGTGAATGTTGTCTCAACGAAATCAACGTTGTTTCAGCGTTGCTTTTGTGGACTATTGCGAATGTGACTCTACGAAAACTAGAGGGATGTTGAAACGTTGGTTTCCTTGAGACAAAGTTTAGTCAACGTTGTTTTGAACTTTAGTTGCTGGTGGGACAGGTTTAACGTAAACTTTAGTATCAGGGACTAGACGGTGTTAGAAGTTGATCATTGGTCAATTTTTTGTAAAGCTCGTATTAGTAGCAAAGACGAACCACATCTGCTTTGTGGTGCACATCTCCTTTGTGGTGCGCATCTCATTCGTGTTTATTCACGTGCAATTAATGACCAGAGAATGCATATATTTATTTAAATATGTATATATTTAAATGCATTTATTTAAATTTTCAGGTAGCCTACCAATTCTTTTGATATATTTGGTTGTTCGAAAGTAGGTAACTTTATTACTTTACTTTATGCACATTACTTTATCGTAATGTGCACATCTTGGTGTAATGATGATGTACAGCGCGAGGTGCTGGAGGTCTGTGGCGGCAGTCTGGGCGTCCAAGAGGCCCTCTTCCAGAAGAGCGCTAAACTGCACCTGACAGTGGGCGTGATGGCCTTGATGGACGACAGTGAGAGGCGCCATGCCGTCCAGGCCTTCACTCGCGCCGTCCAAGAGAGCGCCAGGTACTTATAAGGACGCCAAAATACAAATTTTTAGTTCCCCTGTTAAGAAGACGCGAAAAAGTAGGACGCCAAAAGACCATTTTTAGATCCCCTGTTAATAAGGCACGAAAAAGTACATGAATTAGCGCCAAGCCACAACAGGCCTAAACTTTAGCCCCCACGATACTTTTGTTAAATTAGCATCAATTATTTGTACATTTTTTCTTTTGATCCTCATCATAGGTAATCTTAGGAAGATAATCCATACCAGAATTGCCGAACGCGGTCTGTGGCCACTGTTGTGGATAAAAAACTAAGGTTTGTTGATCCACTCCACATAAAATTATGAAATATGTTATCAAATTTATCCTTATTCAAGAAAAAATTAGTCTTGTTTTATTTTTTCATTAGTGTCCAAATATTGACTCACTTCTGTAACCACAGAAAGAGTAGGGAGCGGACGTAGCACTGATATGCCCTTTTGCCTAACTGTGTCAGGATGACCCATACAAGGTCTAAAAGCGCACCTACATTTGGACAAAATCTCTTTAATTTTTCTGAGTGCAGGGACCTGCCTGACGGGGTGCTCAAGTTACGCCTCAAAGGGCTTCACTATTTCACCGACGACCCTCACAGCGTGCGCGTCCTGTACGCGGGCCTGAGGGCATGCGAACCCTCGGACGACTTCCCTCGTCCACACCTGCCACAGCAACTACAGAATCTTGTTGATAATATCGCTAACTTGATGATTAAAGATGGTGAGTCTGAGGGTTGAGGATGGTGAGTCTGAGGGTTGACGATGGTGAGTCTGAAGGTACATTGTTGATAATATCGCTAACTTGATGATTAAAGATGGTGAGTCTGAGGGTTGAGGATGGTGAGTCTGAGGGTACATTGTTGATAATATCGCTAACTCGGTGATTAAAGATGGTGAGTCTGAGGGTTGAGGATGGTGAGTCTGAGGGTACATTGTTGATAATATCGCCAACTCGATGATTAAAGATGGTGAGTCTGAGGGTTGAGGATGGTGAGTCTGAGGGTACATTGTTGATAATATCGCTAACTCGGTGATTAAAGATGGTGAGTCTGAGGGTTGAGGATGGTGAGTCTGAGGGTACATTGTTGATAATATCGCCAACTCGATGATTAAAGATGGTGAGTCTGAGGGTTGAGGATGGTGAGTCTGAGGGTAGAAGATGGTGAGTCTGAGGGTAGAAGATGGTGAGTCTGAGGGTTGAAGATGGTGAGTCTGAGGGTTGAAGATGGTGAGTCTGAGGGTTGAAGGATGGTTAGTCTGAGGGTTGAAGATGGTGAGTCTGAGGGTTGAGAATGGTGAGTCTGAGGGTTGAGAATGGTGAGTCTGAGGGTTGATGATGGTGAGTCTGAGGGTTGAAGATGGTGAGTCTGAGGGTTGAGGATGGTGAGTCTGAGTGTTAAAGCACATGAATCTGTTACATCATTATGGTGATGCAACAAGTCACCATCACCATGGTGCAGGTGTGATGCGTAAGAACGCCGGGTCTGTGACGCTGCACATGACGGTGATGAACGTCTCCTTCCTGGACCGGGACGAGGGAGAAGCTCCGTCCCAGCAGCCCGGCGTCCCGCATCAGGCTCGCACTGAAGGCTTCGACGCCTCACACATACTAGAGGTTATAATATTCTCAACTTATTATCTTCTTAAGTTATTATTTATTTAATCACTAATCGATACTTTTTTTATTTAAATTCTAATTGATCATTTCAATGCTTGTAACTATCGTATTTTTACGAGTATTGTGATATTTAAGTTCGGAAAGCTCAGGTATTCTATGACCGACTAGGCCACTATGGGGATAGAATTACAGGCAATTATGCAAATTTTGTTATTTTTTTACAGAGGTTTGGGAAAGGCAACAATGGGGATAGACTTGGGTGTAATTTTTAAATTTTCAAATTTTCTTGTTTTCACAGAAATTTGGAGACTACGATTTTGGAGATCTAGAGATCAAGGAAGTGCACTTGTCGCTGCTGCATTCAGAGGACCCAGAGACTGGATACTACGTGACCAGCGCCCGCCTACCTCTTGCTGGACTGCAGCTCCCGTAGCAATATCATGCAATATAATTTAGTGCGTTATGTTGAAATAAGATTAATGGGAAAACTATTTTGCCCTGAATATTAAATTCTCTATTACTAAAATTTTCATTGGAAAATAGGTAATTTTTCTCATAGGACAGCATCAGCAGCAAAGTGGGAAAAAATATTTTACTCTAGGCGTCTAGGGCAATGGAACATTTCATTTCTATTCCTAAAAAGCTGCTATCGTTAGCGAAAATCAGATAGCCAACTCCCATTTTGTTCGAAACCGTCAGTGAATGAGTCTTGCAAAAATGTTGGCACTTGCACCAAGCTTCTGAATAATTAACTTCGAAAAATTAAATATTCTGTTCCCGCGGGCTTTATGCGGACCACCGAATATTTGTCAGTTGATTTTCTCTCGCGGTAACCTACCATTGGCTTCTGCTACTCATCTTGATGTTTCATATGCAAATGAACTTGTACTTCTTTATTAAATTGTTCATTAATAAATCATCAGTTCACAACTTTATCCTTATAGTAAATCATTATTTATATCGTATAATGGAACCCAAGTAATCCTGACAATTGTTTTGCTGTTGCCAAAATTTGATTGTTTTTCAAGCTTATTTCTTACATTGCAAAGAATGTGTTTGTCTTATGAATAAACTAGCCCGTATGATTCCAGTGGAAATATTAATAAAAAACAATATTTAGAACAATATTATTTTCATCCTTACATAGGTACTCGCAATCAAACTTTCATTATAAGTTTTTTATTAATCTAAAAATAAGTTACAAAAATAAGGATATGATGGAATCTAAAAGCAGCTTTTACGTCTCCAGTCAACGGCTAGCGCAGTGACGTCATCGTCGTCTGACTCTTCCTCCTCGATGTTGCTTGCTTCTTCCATTTTGCACGTCGTGGTTTGCTTCTCTTGCTTCTCGCGGTCAAACTTGATCACTCTGCGAGCGAGAATTCAACATTAACAAGCTGTAAACATTTTACTGTTGGAACACATTTTCATAAATCTCTACTATGGATATTAACGGACAGAAAATTTTCAATGTAGCTTTTTCGATTTCGATTGCTATCAATCATCTATGCCACCCAAGTTCCTGGTTGAGTTAGCACTGAATTTTTGTAGGGCTACATTACTTCTTCAAAGCGATATAAAATAATACTACTGATCATATAATTAATGTTTTTGAACCCTATTTTGAAAATTGATACAAATTTGTGCCACTGCACGCCATGTATTATATCCTAATTAATAATTCTTGCGTTTTTCGTACTAGCTAATGAACATTACTAATCATGTGTCAATTGATCGCCAAGCCGTCATCATTTTCAATTTAATAATTATTATCAAACTGATTGATGAACTGCATGTGAGAAGCAAAGTAATGCCAAAAAACAACCCACCAATGGCAGCAACAACCCACCTCTGGTAGTACAGCATCTGCTCCTCCGCCTGCAGGATCTGGTTGCGTTTGGCTGCCTCCTCCGTGTCGTCCGCAATGATCTGCCTGCTGGTGCTCTCAGCGGCCGACACCTCCCGCATGAAGGCGGTCCATTCAGCCTCGTCTTTGTCGACATATTCTATCTTGCGTGCCTGAAGTCCAATGTACAGTAAATAAAGAACCATTGAGTTTAAGCATTAAAATATTTTCAGACCTATTTAGATGCATAAATATGCTTAGTTAATCAGAACCTGAAACTTAATTATTATTAACTTAGACACCAACATGTAAAAAACTCCATTAATTACAAGAATTGAATTAAAAAAAAAAAAAAAAATTACAAGAAAAAATTAACAAGGGATGATGTTTTCATGTACTAATTAAAAATTATTCAATACAATGGGAATAATTGCCAAAAAAAGATGATATCAAGCAGACTTATTTTGTGTAACTAATTACTTTGATTAAAAATTCTAAATAGTAGTTAATCATGAATGAGCAAAATGTAAAAAATTAAAGCATACTGTCATTTTGACCAAGATGGCACTTCTTACTGCCACCAACTAATAACTCCTTTAAACCAAAGTCCTTATAGTCAAATCTAGTTAATTTTTCAATGTAAATGGTGTCAAGAGTTTAAATTCAAGAATTCATAGCTAAAACAAAAAATCTCTTTAATTTTTCAATTTAAATGCTGTCAAGATTTTAAATTTAAAAATTATTGCTAAAACTAAGAATTTGTAATTAAACAAAGGGGAAATTTTTGTTATTAAACGCACAATGGATAATAATAACCTTGGCATCAGCAACAGGGTCGTCAAAAAAGCCCTCAGGAAGATCAGAAGTTGGCTGTTGCTGAGGAGCTCTGTCAGCAGCAGTCAGATAGTAGCTCTGTGGGTCCTCTGCTACGTCTTCTTCCATGTTATCTTCTTCTTGCTTCAATTCTTCTTCTGTTAACTCCATTTTCACGGCATTCTCTGTTGACACTGAATATTTGCTGTACTATTGATGAACATTTTACATTGATCTCTATACAATGCTGCACAGCATGACTTACATTCATCAAATGACAGATTCAATAATGAATGATACGATTTAAAAGCAAGTTAGCATGTGATCTTATTTATGCTATGTGGGGCCTGATTAAATAACCCAATTGCACAACTTTATAATGATTGCTACAACTACCTACATCATAAATAGATGGACATGAAGCACTAGGGATATCAACAATTTCCAACATTTTTCCGAGTCACCATTAATCAAATCAAACTTAGAAACAACAACGCTTATAAAAACAAGGAAACAATCGTCTGCATGAACATATGCCATTGAAACCTCAGAAAACTGCATCTAATTTTCTCCACAAAGACAAATATAACTTTTATTTCAATTTATTTAAGAATGTCACATTAAACACAAATTCAGGAATATTCAACACAACATGGCTCATCATTGAACTTGAACTGACAACTCCCTAAGACCACAAACATTAACTTTCACTTACAAGATGGCACTGGTTCTGAAGGCTCTTCTTTCTTCACAAATTGTTGCTCATTTGCCTCAAGAGATTTAGATTGTCCAGCTTTTTTAAGTATGCCTGAAATGCAAGATTTAATGAGTATATGTATGGCATAGAACCATAAAACATTTCATTGGGAAGATGATACAACCTAAGGTATTGCATTACATTTTAGAATGCAGTTTCTGACTATTTGAAAAATAATTTCACATGTTCATCAGTTAAAAGAATAGGTATAGCAATTCAGCATTCCTTTTCCAGTGGCACATATTTTTTTCTCAATTTTTTGATATGTTATGTTAAATTAAGCATGATGATTATAACTTCACAAATTATTTATGTAAGCTTCTAAACTAATAAAGGAGCAGGTGCTGTAAATGTTATTACTAAAATTTAGTGGAATTTCTGGGAATTTTCCTTCTTATTAATTGTCTAACTATGCAATCAATGTCATAAAGTAATCCTAAAAAATATGAACTTTATAATAATAATTAGGATATTACTTTTGACAGGTGCAGGAGGAAGTGATGTTGGAACATTGAGTTTCTTTGGAGCAGGAGCAGATGCAGGGAAATTTGTTGCTTTTCTCTTGTTTGCAGAATTTAGCTGGAAAGCAAAAATATGGAATGGCAGAACCAGGCAGATAATAAATGTATGTATAGCGGAATTCATGAGATTAATTTTGTATTGCATACAAATGTCATAAATTAAATTGACATAAGACCAAAAATGTCACACTTTCAAATGCAATACCGGTAACATCTTATCTCAAATTAACTTAAATGAGTGTTGATTACAAGGCAGAATTGTACAGTTTTGAATGGAATCAACACATAAAAATAAATCTTTTGTTTCAATAAGTTTGGTTCACTTATTCACATCCTTGATTGAGATGGAGTACAGGATGCTTCAGCAAAATTAAATGCCCAAAAAATCTTGCTACAAACCAGTTGTTGTTTTTCCTGCAGGTTCTTCAGATTATCAATGTGGGACTTCTTGATGACATGTGACTGCCACAATATTGCACTCTTGACAACACAGCCGCAAACAACACACATCAGCTGTCCACGACTGCAAAACACCAAAAAATGAAAATTGCAAATTCTGTTGCACAAATAATTTTAATCTGTAATCTTATATAAATGCTGACAACATTATTCAAAAGTCAAAACACAGTTAAAATAAATACCTATTTAAATTACATAAAATTTTTAAAAATACTTAACAAAGCCTCTTCATATTCCTTTTGAGATTAAACTAAATTTGCATTATTAAATTTTATAAAAATCAAGAGGTTCATCAGCCTAGTTCAGCTCTTCAGGTATTTCATGTAAATCATTTTCTCATAATGATATTAAAGAGCACAAACCTTGTTTGACTGCATTCACTGTACCTACCTAAACCTTTTGTTGTATGGCTCTATAAGCCTGTTGCAGCCAAAGCAATGTACAAACTAAAAGGCTTTACATGGAACAATTAGCAACTTACCTGTTGTATTTGGCATGAGGTGAGTTGACAAGTCGTGTTGCTGATCTGCTTTTTAGCTGCTCCTGCATCAAAGCCTGAGCAGTGCTAATGCTATTCTTTCCTTTATTCACACTCATTATTGAACTATTGTTGAACTATTTCCAAACTCTACACTACACCTATACTGAGAATATTTGTTAATAGAAATTATGGAATACTACCTATCTTGACGCTGAATGACCCACAACAGTAAGCATTAACCACTATAAAAGATTGTTTTAACCAAGATGAATATACTTTAAAACTCAAACTCAAAATGAGTTTTGTGAGGGTGAACTATAGTGACTGTACCAGCACTGAAATGTTGAAACTTCTGACTTTTCAAGTGAATTGTAAACTGCAACCAAAGATGAGAGAATGATAGAAGATAGATGATTAAACTATGTGACATTGATAGAATATTTTAGAATTTGATGAAAATTTTTAATTAGATATATGCTCAAGTTACAGTTACACAGCTATAACATACTAAAAAATATTAAATTTCATGGAAGAGGCAACAAAGAAAACTTCAATCTATTTTTTAAAGGCAAAGAGAAAATTAGAGAATGAAGGCAATATTAAAAATCCTGCTTTTTGTACAGAGCAAAATTACATAGCTCCAACTTTATTTGTTAGATAAATTTCAATTTTATAGTTTGTTCAGGCAGTTCAGCCAGTTCAGGTAGTTGTATTACAATTAGATTCCACATTGACATAGGAGACATACACTACCTCAACACATTTATAAAATTGCACAGTTGACAGAAGTTTCTTAAAATTGTGGATACAAACCATTGTTCCACAGTTCTATGGCTGAGTTTCAAAATTGCAGATGAAAATATGCTGTTTATCTTACTTTTCACTGAAGACATGAAAAAAGGCTAAAAAGCCACAACTTTGGTAAAACTTGTCAGATTTATGCCATTTTTGCCAACCCTGGCTGGTTTCTGCCTAATATTCAATATAGGTTGATGTCACAGAGTCAGCACTCAGCAATGATTGCCACCATAAAGATGGTAATCAAGATTTTTTTGTATTTAAGTGATTTGATCATGCTACAAAGTTATTGCTCAAACTCATGATGGTACTGTTTCTTGTATTCTCATGTATTAATTTTAATTTGGCATACACAAGGCTCCTAGCCTAAGCACAAAGCACTGGTCACTGGTGTACATCCTGACTCTGGCAAAAAATGAGCGATAAAGAATTATGTACTGGTGTAAGCATCAGCCTAGGCAAGGCTGCCATCCAATTCCAATGGCAATGTGTCCCACGTTTTGCAGCACTTTAAACTCTGAAAGTCAGCTTACAATTCTTCTTGATGAATGATGATGAACAACCTGACCCTACTATGTAGCCATTGTGCAGAGAGTGAACGAAGATTTAAAGACCTACGGCGACGCATTATCGGCAAAATTTTCGCCTTCAGAAGATCTTGCCAACACAATTAGATTAAAATTCTTGCATTCAATATATTTCTCAGTCTTCAGCCAACTATTTAGAAAAAAAGTAAGGTTTCCGGTACGTTGGATGGATTACGATGCAGCGAAGCTTGTCCGGAAATCAGTTGCGATGAGTTCCCGCAAAAAATGTAAACAAAGTTTTTTCGATTGCGTACGGTAGTTTCGGTCGCATTAGAGCGGTCAGACTGCTTTATTACTTGTTCAGTTGACACTTGCTGTACAACCGGACTGTTTTTAGGGTAAAATTAGTTATTTGGGGTAACACGTGCATGCAACCTTGTAATAAGTTTGTGGCTTGTAAATAGTTCGTCATTACTCAGCGTAAATGGCTTTTCATTAAAAATTACCCGGCAACGCATCTCTAAAATGGCCGGCGACGCTTTGGGCTTAAAAATCCATATATTGCCGACGCTGCATCCACCCTCTGCATAGTGGCTATGTAGGATATGGCTGTGATATGGGCCAATTGCAACAATGCAACTTGACTTAGCCACTTAGCCTCTTAGGTAATGGCCGTAATGCCAACATTGAACTTTGAAGGATCAAAAAGCTAAGTTCAGATGCACCCTGTGCCCCTGCATAGGTACCGGCATACTGGTGCTCGTAAAAACTATAATATCTGCTAAAGCAGCTAATGAAACCATTATCAGTTTCAATTTCAAAACTACATCCTATAAGTATAAACCAGTATCAACTTAAAAAGCTACATGTTTATGTTACTTGAAAACTAGTATAAACCTTAATAAACTTGGAATGCGGTTTTTGCGTTGTTTCAAAGGCCAAAGCTAGTAAAACTAGTATAAACTCGAAAAACAGTGTTCATTTATGTTCATTAAGGGCCAATACATTCTCATAGGGGTCATTTACAGATCACCTAACAGCTCCTCTGATAACAATAAAGTACTAAACAGCCTTTTACCGAGCATGTCATTCAGCAGGACGCATACGTTGATCGTTGGTGACTTTAACCATCCAGAAATAGACTGGGCAGATGAATCTTCTCCAAGAGATGAGAATCACCCAGCATCCCTGTTCTTGGAGTCTGTACGAGACTCATTTTTAATCCAGAACATCACCAAGCCAACCCATTTTAGG